TCCAGCCTGGCCTGCAGGACATGGAAAACGAAAATCTAAGTTAAGAAAGTCGAAGGCATTTTTGAATTTTCATTTTTGAAGTTACGTGTACATGTACTAGACGTTTTATAAACAAGCCTGGCAAAGATGCGTACGTCTGTATGGACACATTTCGAGGAGAAGTCATTTATCATTTTTTAACGAATGTTTTTAACGTCAGACAGCAACAATTTTGTCCAGATGAAAAGGCTCCATTCATCAAGCATCAACGTCTACTTGTTTCTTTTCATTGTAATCATGGGAACAATACAAACACAACATTTCCCTCGGTAATGAAAACAATTCAAAATTCGTATGCAAAGATATACATTTGCATAGACTCACCCTCTTCTGTGTGACTGCAGTCGCTTTTCTTTCTTTCTTTTCTGAGCTCTCCGACAGCCTGGCGATGAAGTTTCTTCAAATCGTCTCAAAGTATCCCAAATCCGCGCCTGAAAAAAATACATATGTTCTGAGCAACATACAAACTATATCGATGTACTTCTAAGTAGAAATAATAAACTATGTTATTAATCAGTAAAAAAATAGTGTACACTTCTTGCCAAAATAAATATTTCTGCCGTAGGCACAACTTAGCCAAGGTTTTTAAACAACATGTTTAAGATATATGTAACGATAGTGCCGTATATAAAATAGTATCCTTGTTTTAGCTTACCCTTTCCTCCCGTCGGTTTCCTGGTTCGTTGCGGTGCTGTCGGCAAATTGTCGGCCCGTGTAGTAGAGTCATTTCTTCCGTTGCGAAAACGAAGTAACAGAACGGAATGTTTGACGCCATTTTAGTTCAGGAACATACTAGTAATCTTTGCAAGCCGAGACAAACGTGTTTTGAAAAAGCAAACCGTCGTTGTGACAAAGCAAGATTCAAACGACCCACCAAAACAAAGCATCGCGTCTCTTATTGGCTGGTCCCGGCGAGAGCGAGGTAGGATTGATCGTCAGTCATATAATCACGTGATCGCGTTCAATACTACAACGATCTTGTTTTTATATTATAGGTTTTAAGTTAAATCGCCTGTGCAGTCTGAACACTTGGATGATAGGATGTTTCTGATTGTGTGAATGTATTTATTTCAAGGCAGACAAATGATCTTCATAATTCTAATTCGTCATGATTACATGGCTTTATTCGTTCTAGAATTACACAACTTGTCGCTCACTGAGTGAAATAAAACCGCATTTTAACTCCAACATAACCTTACTCTTTGTAAATGTATCCAAAATCCACAATTAATGTCATGAGGGTTGACTTGTTTTGCTGGATTTCAGTATTTTACCAGGCGTGGGGAATTAACTTACGACCTAACAGTTGTGTGTGTTAAACTACTTAAAGTGCTCCAGTAGCTCTTAGGGGGCTAATGAACACTCCTCTGGCCAATGGATACTGGAAGTACTTCATTGCCACCGTGTGATCTGCTTCGGTGGCTAATGGACACTCCTCTGGCCAATGGATACTGACATTATTGCCTTGACAATGTCAAGTTGACATCGTATGATCTGCTCCGGTGGCTAATGGACACTCCTCTGGCCAATGGATACTGCCTTGCCACCGTATGATCTGCTTGAAGATTAGCTGTCTCCTACTCCTACTGTCTCTTTCACCCCGTTGATTAAACCATGAATCAGCACTTCTGCGAAAGCCTGGTGTTAATGAGCTCATCTTCCTCCTACTATTCTGCTGATGAGCTGGGGACTCATTAACGACATCGCAGCGGCGCGTCCGGTTTATGCAAATGATATGCAAATGAGCCTCGGGCCGTGGGTGCGCGTCGCTGGAGGGTTCTCGCCGTTTGACCTACTTCAAACCACGCTTAACCTCCGCCACGTGTCGCGAACAAGACGCCTTGAAGATGGCCCAAGTTCACTGCAACCGCCTTGAAGATTTGCCACTTCAAAGAAACCGCGACGACTTGAAAGACGCACGTCTTTGTACCCGCGTGTCAGGTTCTTACGGATGGTATTTTTAAAACAGTGGAACCCGTCCCAATCAGAGGGAGATAATGACGTCGTTAGGAAGGAGTTGTCCGCCAGGGACCCGCCCCAGATGCGCGCCTGTGGGACCGAAGTCTCGGTGCGATGGCTCGCTGCGGGTTGTTAAAAGGCGTCTGCAGTAGATTCAGCTGATACACAAGCTGCCTGGGCTTCTGAGAGGCGCTGGAACTGAACATTCGGCTGTCTGGCTGGTAAGTGCGCTTCAGTGTGGTTTGTTGTCCAAGAAAATAAATCTTCTGTAATATAGTATAGGTGGCAATGGTTTAGGTTTCGGCTTATTTTTGACGTGTTTTGGGCGTTAAAATAAGCCTGCAGTGGATTTACCTGATAAGCTACCTGGGCTGCTGAGAGGCGCTGGTGCGTCAGCCATTTTCATGTTACATCAACTACTAGTATACGTTTTGTATTTGCAATTGTTACCCCCAACTTTGTGGTATGTTATGTTTTATGAGCAAAGGATCAGTATGAGCACATTGTGTGTTTTCTGTCCAATGCTCTTAAATCCATGTGAATAGAATTTTTTTAAAGTACACCGTTGTGATTTGTTCTCAGAGAAAATTCATCATAGAATGTAATTTTATGATATCTATCATAATATGATATCAATCGTAGACGTAGATATCGTAGAATGTGATTTTGTTATTACATGTATCTTCAAACAGATCTCTTAGTGGATGGTAAGTGCACCGCGTGGTTTGGTCTCCGAGAAAATACATCTATCGTAGAAACGTTCTCTGTCTTACCTTGTGGTGGATGATTCGATGAATGATTTACATCCATTCGTTCTGGATCGTTCAGTCCCAAAGCTATCTGGATATGGATCTGGTTATCCTGTCAGGTTTCATTTTATTCTTTCAGTTATAGAATAAATCTATTGTAGAATGAGATAGAGCTGTGATTTTGTTATCATCTCCAAGCAGATCTCTTAGTGGCTGGTGAGCAGGTGCCCCTCAGGGTGATTCGTTCTCAAAGAAAATACATCTTCTGTGAAATAGGATAGATGGAGTGTGGTTTTGTACAAACAATGAACGATGTACACTGCTACTCTCTAAGCAGTGATTTAGGTTTAGGCCTATTTTTGACGTGTCTAGGTGTCTTTTTCTTGGCCAGCCAATCTTCGGGTGGTTAATAGTTACTGCCCTGCCAATTTTATACTGCCTTAGCCAACAAAAGATCTGCTTGATTATTAAACTGCTCTGGACAATGTTTCACCCAATTGTTTAGTAATTCGTGCTCCTTTGTAGTCACTTTTGAAGAACTGAGGTGTTCAAATACTCGTATTTCCCCAGAACTATCGTAGACTGGAACTCGTTGCACCAAGCACAGTAGGGGCATCATCACTAGAAAGCTTTAAACAACTCCTGCAATTACATGTGCAAAGATCGAGTGTAACAAGTCGTTCGGTGTGATATAGCTAGCTGCCGCCGCGCCGCGTGCCTGCGAAGCTGGTGTGTTACGCCGAAGGGCGGTTTTACAGGCTATACTGATACTGATACAGATACTAGATGGGCACTATCTGGCATGGACTTCTGAGGTAGACTCAGTACACTGTATACACTCTCTCATTCAGTGATACGACAATCTGATAAAGTATACTTGTTCATCTGCAGGTAAGGATGCTGCTCCTCCAAGTTGTTCTCCTCGCGTGCGTGGCGCTCCACCTCTCGGAGAGCAGCGCCGTCCAAGCTCTCTACGACCCGCCCTTCCTGTCGTCCGATCACCATAGCAACGACAACGACGTCATCAGCGACGCAGACGACAGTTTCCCGCCAGACTTCGCTGGAAGCACGTCCGAACCCGACGACTTCGCGGGTTTCCGAACGAGGGCCTTCGGGAAGAAGGGAGCCTGGGCGCCGTACACACACGGTGTCACCACCCGGGGGTTCGGCAACAAGCGAGGCTTCGGGAACAAAAGAAGCGACGTCGGCGAGCGATACGCCGCGGTAGAAGAGATGCTGGAGCGACTACGTCAGCTGGCGCAGAGAGAAGGGGAGATGAGATACGGCGGCCAGGTTGAGGACGTCAGCGGTGACGTCAAGCGCGGGTTCGGGAACAAGCGCGCGGTGCGGCACAGAGGGGAGGATATCTTGTTCTGGTGGCCGCGGCCGCAGCAGTCCTGACCGACTTTCTCTGCTAAAGGTAAGTTTGTTTGATCTCTAAGTAGATCCTAGGGTGGCAAAAGACAGTATCAAAGGACAAACAGTACCCATTGCCCAGAGAGAGTCCAGAACCGTGCTTTATCTAGATCCATGTTCAGGCACAGTTCTGGCGTATCCAGAACCGTGCTTTGCTCAGAATCATGCTCAGGAATAGTTCTGGATAGTCCACGCGTATCCAGAAGCTTGCTTTATCCAGAACCATGCTCAGGCACAGTTCTAGCGTATCCAAAAACGTGCATTGTTCAGAATCATGCTCAGGCATAGTTCTGGATAGTCCACGCGTAGCCAGAACAGTGCTTTAAGTACACACAGGACCAGGCACGGTTCTGGGTAGTCCATACGTATCCAGAACTGTGCTTTATCCAGAACTATGCTTAGGCACGGTTCTGGATAGTCAATGCGTATCCAAAACTGTGCTTTATCCAGCACCATGTTCAGGCACGGTTCTAGATAGTCCACGCGTGTCCAGAACCGTCCCCGGAAAAGAAACCATACCTGGGCCCGAAAAAGGAAGAATTCAAAGATGCTCGCCTTGACAGAGCTATTGAAATTTTACATTTCCACCTATATGTACATCTGTCTACATTTTCATTTCAAAGACGTACGTCCGCTCATTAAGTTGGATATTCGAGCTCCTTACCTTCTTGACACAACTGCCGACCACCCTGACCTAGGCATTCGGTTCCTGAAAGCTTTTGATGTTAAGGTCAAGGTTAGGCCCCCTGGTACGACTATCTGCATGATGTGACGTCATCATGCCCTTCTTGTACTTTCTAGGGACGTTTAGTGAAGTCAAGCGGTCATCTTTATGAATCATAAAATCGTTTGATGTTGCTTACTATTCTCACAGCGCTTCATGTTAAGATTTCAACCGTTTGACATTTTCTCACTTTTCCCACAGCGCTTGGCCCTGCTAGCTGGAGGAGGTTCGCGACACGTTCGACCTAATTAGCATATCCGTGACGTCACTTCCGCTGCGTCGGACAACGGGGGCGTTGGGACATCTTCGAATTCTTTAATTAGAACTTTGGGGAAAACTCATCTGAGATCCACTCTAAAAATAAACTAATGAAGGCATTTTATAAGAGCCAAATTCCAATAATGAGGGTCACCAAATCTACATTGCTTCAGCACAAGGGCCATTACAACTTTTTTTTTTCAAACTAAAGGCAATTCAAAATCGAAAGAGTTGTAAGCCATATGGTTGCCATGTTGGAAAAAATGCACTTCTGTATTCGAACTATGTCGTCTTGCTGTAAAATAGGGGACAACAGCAAACTTATGTTCTACATGTTCCATGGATGGCGAAGGGTTTTAAATGATTGCGCTAATGTTTATAGCAATGGAAGAAGTTAATGAACAACGACATTGGTATAATGGCATTCGCCCTTACAGACTACGTGTGGATCTGGGAAGAAAAAGTGATGTTAAAGAAAACTAACGAAAAAAACAATAAACAACCAGAGATGGGAAGCAATGACGTTTAGTTTGTTTTGTTGTTTCTTTAGTATTTCTTAGTCTTCATTTAATGCTCCTCTCCCCCTTGACTAGACAGGCTTGGGAGCATCTTAGATATTATGACATATTCATAAGACCCTCGAAACATTTCTTATGGTAGTAAAATACATTGCTTTAACAATACCCTTTGTTAAAGATATAGAAACACAGAGTTTATAATTTGCATTAAGCTGGCGCCCAATCCTATTTTCGCTGCTCTCTTTCTTTGTATCTGCGGAGAGGATAAAAGAGACTCTGCAGCTAAAATGGACTTATTTCCAAGAAGATCATACGGTGGCAAGGTAGTATTCATTGGCCAGAGGATTGTCCATAAGCCAATGGATATTGTCTGGCTAATGGAAACTGTCTTTTGCGGCCACCGAAAGATCTGCTTGTAGATTCTGGTTTCGATGCCAAGCTAAACTTGCACTACCCACAATATTAAGCAACAGGTCTTCATTTTCACAAAATGAGGTAGAACATGAATGTTGTCTTAATCTCAGACTTTAAAGACTCTCATTGAAGGATAAAATCGACGATCAACAATTCATTGGACATTGTCCTGAACTTAGTAGCTTTCATACGAACATACATACATTTCAAGACAGTCGAAATCTTATTGTTCTACTTTCTCTCTATGGCGTCGGTGGCACAACGGTTAGAGCATTGGACTAGGAACCAAGAGGTCCCGGGTTCGATACTCAATGTGGCCCGACGTTGTGTCCTTGGGAAAGGCACTTTACACGACTTCCCCACCTATACAGTGGAGTGACACCCACCGAGCCTCTTAGGCTAATCTGTCTAACTGTGTGCCAAAAACACAGTATGGATTTGGTGCGCCGATGTGACAACGTCTGCACATTGGCCACTGAGAGCCATTGATTTTTTTTCTATTTTCTCTGCCTAAATTTAGGACAGTACTATTTTCCTCCTAATTCATTAATAAACAAACCATTAAAACAAACAAAACTGTAAATAATCGACTGCTTATCGTTGTTGACGAGGCTGCTGATGTTTCGCGACATCTGGTGGATATCTTCAAATCTGAAACAAACAAAAAACAAAGCTATAAATACGGAACAGTATCTATATATCTCTCTCCAAATGCTATATTTGGCTTGCAGAAGGAAAAGCTCTGATCATAACCATTTTAACAAAGGCATTCATTTATGGGTCTGGAATCCAAGCTAAATAGAATGAAATGAATTCTTTATTCACGTATAAAGTATAAAGACTTTTGAATGGTCTACTACAACTAAGATCAAACAAAGCTAAATACATGTGTGGATGAAGTCATCCTACTTACAGAATATATGCATGCAGCAAACTATGTACAGAATATATGTGAGGGCAACATTATATATATGTGGGGTCATGTGGCGTAGCGGCAGAGTGCTCGACTTGGAACCAAGAGGTCCTGGGTTCGAGTCCTGACATGCCACCGATCTTGTGCCCTTGGGAAGGCACTTTACACGACTTTCCTCACTTAACTCAAGTGAAAATGAGCATTGCCCTGTCCTGTATTCGTCCCCTGCGTTGGTGGCGGCATAAAGTAAGTTGATATAACTTGAGTGTGCCGTCACCACATCTTGTGATTACATGTTGGAATATTGAAAAAAAAATTATATAACCAACCTGAGTCGATGTTGAGCACATGCGGTATGTATCTGTCCCAGAAGGCACAGAACTCTGCCCTCAGCGCTCGGCCGTTGGGAAGGCCAGGTTCCAGTTTCTTGTATGCCAAGCTGTTCGTCCCGTTCGTCGAGAACTTCGGCCATCTTGTGACGTCATCGTGACGCGAACCGTCCGCGTTGCGGTTCGGGTTCCTGTAATACAGATGCAGCGTCAAGCCAAATACATGATTCTGCTAAATACATGACTCTCAGACACTACTTGGGGGGTTCCAATATGGAGGCCGGGGTTTAGTCGTAATGTGGGAGACTAAACCTAACCTGACCCCAATCGTAAGTCTAACCCTAGCCCTGAACAATGATCCCAACCCTAACACTAACATAAATATATACCAACCCTAACCGTACCCCTAAACACCTGACCTCTCATGTATTTGGCAGATCAAGGATTTGCAGGAAGAAGCAGAAAGAACAGACCACGGGTCCATGAAAAGTGCAGTGTATAGGACACCTGACTGTTGTTCTTCAACAGACTCATTTGCAGGCTGAATGAATAGTAGAAATTGGCGTAAAGGGGGATATAATCGGATATAATTGTATGTACAGGACATAGGCAAATTGAACCTTCTATGGCTGTCCAACTTCCCTTGCCAATTATGTCTTCTTTAGGTCAATATCAGGCTATTTATTCAGCCTGCAGAGGAGTAATGTGGAGTCTAATCCTTACCCTGTGTGCGCGAAGTTGCTCCAGAACCGCATGACGTTGACGGCCAGGGTCTCATCCCGCAGTTCGTACTGGGGCAGGTCGTAGGGCGGCAGGAGAGGGAAGCCGAACACATATTGCACATCATCAGCATGACGCACTCCCACCCACGGTGGGGTGTTTGAAGCACCAGATCTGTAGTAAGGAAGAAATTGCAGACTTTGAGCTGAGTGACAAACAGAGAAAGCAGTATGTACCTTAAAGTCTTTGGTCACACAAACACACACGTACACACACACACACACACACACACACACACACACACACACACACACACACATGCGCGCGCACACACACATACACGTTACACACACACACACACACACACACACACATACACACAAGCACACACACACATACACACAAGCACACTCACAAACAAGCACACTCACACACACACACAAGCACACTCGAGCTCACACACACACACACGTACATCATGTTACATACACACAAACATACACACACACACCAAAAACAATATACCAATACATTTCTCCAACTATAAATAAGACTTACCTGTGAGTCAGCTGATACATATAAACATTCTCTCCCGCTCCCGCGTAAATCCTCGCAATCTCATTGGTCGGACAGACGAAGTAGAAATCAGTCGTCTGCCGGATGTACTGCACCCGATTGGCTGACTCCGAGTCATCTGACCAATCAGTGTAGCGATACCTGGAAGCGAACGCACATTTAAAGAAAATATCATATTATGGAGTAACAAGTACAACCACATGCGTCTCGACACATGGTGGTAGTATACATTGTGTAAATGTAGACCTCTGACCTCTCCACTGTATTTCATTATGTTATTTAAGCTAGCTTTAATTGTTGTGCACATAAGTAAGTTAGGCCTACGTGTAGATTGTTGTTAAGATTGTTATTGTTATACTGTTATTTAAGCTGATGTTTGTATATAATTGTTAGTAGCTATTAAGTTTGTAATTGATTATATTTCATCTTTTAAATGTTCAAGGGTTAGGTGTAACAAGTCGATCGGTGTAATATAGCCAGCTGCCGCCGCGCCGCGTGCCTGCGAAGCTGGTGTGTTACGCCGAAAGGCGGTTATACCGGCTATACAGATACAGATACAGAAAGGACTCCAGGAAGACTAGTAAACAAACTTTGTATTACTAATGGAGATTCCTAATAAACATAAACATAAACATAAACATAAACATACAGCACCGCTTCTTTCACAAGGTCGGCCGCGTCGCCGTACATGTATCGAGCCCAGTTCGCTACAATAGACTCGTAATCCGATCTGCGTATCCCAGGGTTCTGCATGGAGAGGAAGGTTGGCTGTTCCATCATTAGCATCAACGCCCCTTCGTCCGAAGCCGTTCCCAACAAGATGGCGGATCTCTGGAAGTCGCCATTTTGGAATGCGTCGCGGGGGCTTCTGGGAAGGAAGTTTGCGTCCAGCACTGGGATCCATTTTGCTTTCAACATCTGCAAAGAAAATATGCTTTCATGTTGGTGAAGGTTAGACATCCGTGTAATAAGGGGGAGGGCAACCTGTTTTGCCCTCCCTTTCACTTTGTGGGAAATGCCAATAAACAAGTACAATACACCAAAAACAATTACTCAAGCAGCTGGATATGATTTTGGAAATGGTCAGACGTTTCTGGTAGCATTCACTACCTTTCGTGAGTGACACTGTAGAGTTGTCAGAAAAGTTAGTTTATAACATATATGTACAATACTTCTGTTCCAGTACCAGCAAAATTCAGTAGAAACCTAAATACCTAGCCTCCACCAAACCTTGGAAGTGGCTGGAAAGAGTAGAAATTGGCCAAATAGACAGATTAACATAATCTGGCATGTTATCGGTCTATTTGGTCAATTTCTGCTCTTTCCAGCCACTTGCAAAGCCTGGTAGATGCTAGGTTCTTTGGGTCTCAAAATTTTGTCACTACCGGAATGGAAGTATTGTTTTGGGTGGCGCTAACATATCCCACGTTTGTATGTTTTGATTCCACGGACCTGTTGTGGCTGTGCGTTGACCAGCACTTGGGCCTCCACCTCTCGTAGGCAAGACACCACCGTGTGACTGCTTGAGGTATTGCAGGCTAGCTGCTCCGCCAGGCTCATGGCATCTGCCACTCCTGAAGGCCGGAACGCAAAGTCCGTCAAACCCGTGCCACTCTGGAAAACAAAATAGAGTACAGCTTCCTTTCTACTCAATGTCAGCAAAAATGAACACAGTCAACTCAGTCCACTACCCTGGTCAACTCGATCAACTCGGTCAACTCGGTCAACTCGGTCCACTACCCTGGTCAACTCGGTCAACTCGGTCAACTCGGTCCACTACCCTGATCAACTCGATCAACTCGGTCAACTCGGTCCACTACCTGGTCAACTCTGGTCAACTCGATCAACTCGGTCAACTCGGTCCACTACCCTGGTCAACTCGGTCAACTCGGTCAACTCGGTCAACTCGGTCCACTACACTGGTCAACTCGGTCAACTCGGTCAACTCGGTCAACTCGGTCAACTCGGTCAACTCGGTCCACTACCCTGGTCAACTCGGTCAACTCGGTCAACTCGGTCAACTCGGTCAACTCGGTCCACTACCCTGGTCAACTCGGTCAACTCGGTCAACTCGGTCAACTCGGTCGTACTATCGCAGAGTGGAACTCGCTGTCACCAAGTACAGTAGGGGTATTGTTATTAGATTAGCTTTAAACAATGTCTAGAGTTAGATGTTCAAGGGTTCGGTGTAATGTAGCCAGCTGCTGCCGCACCGCGTGCCTGCGAAGCTGGTGTGTTTCGCCGAAAGGCGGTTATACCGGCTATACAGATACAGATACAGAAGGAACTGCCAGTATGACTCTACGGCGTTAGGCAGCAGGGAGAAAGTGGGGAAAAATCAACCTTGTTCGAACACATCTTTAACCCACCAAGATGGCGGACACTTGATTTCATCAGTCACGTGACAGCAGAGAACCATGTTCTTACCTGCATGATAGCCCTTGAGAAGAGCCCCCTACTGGCCGGGGAGGTGAGGTGCATCCCGACACTTGCCCCTCCTGCGCTCTCTCCAAATATGGTCACCTTGTCGGGATCACCTCCAAATGCTAAGAACAAATTCAGAGCTGTGATTAATACATCACTATATAGATGCCATTCATTACCTAAATATTGCATTAACATTGAGCTATCTTGAAATGAACCATGCCCTTTGAAAATGGGCCCTCCTTTTTTTTCAAACGTTTGCAGCCAAAAGTATTGAGAAATTGCCTGGGAATGAAACTGTTACTATAAAGTACTACCACCACAATGTCAGGCCTCAAGAAAAATTATGCATAAATTGGTCATGAAAATGGAAAACATGATATTTATTCGAGCTAAATATGGAAGTATAAGACAGAACCAAATTTTAAAAGCCTAATACATTTCGCTGCCATCTAGGACACTTAACTGTGGGAGGGGGGCATATCTTTTGGCTTGGCTTTCGTTTCCGAAGAAAGGCATAACGTTATCAATAAGATATAAGCAACAAGCTGCCTACCTACCAAAAGTGAAGAAAGGCATCTATAAACCCTGTCTTTAGCATGAAGCTATGCTGTGATGGTGTCTATGAGTCGTCAACACCGAGGACTGTGGCACACAGAAGTGGATACGAATCCTCGGCAGCCATCTTGGTCTGTGACCTTTGACTCTATCCTTGACCCCATCCGTGACCCTTGACCCCAAGTAAGTAAAATTATACATATATTGTTTCCCTACCTCGTATGTTTGTTTGCACCCATGTCAGAACTTCGACCTGGTCCAGCATTCCGAAGTTTCCAGGGGAAACCGAGTCTCCTGTAGGGCAAACAAATAAAATCCAAATGAAAAAAATTCCGGGGTCCGACATCATCTACCACTTCAAAGAAGCCACGTGACAAGCCTCACTGGGTCAGTCTACTGAGGAAGACCAGAGTGACTGATCGAAAGCTCTAGGTGAGAGAAGATGTTTTGTGTTGGACCACAAGTTTTGTATGCCATGTGTACCAAAATGTTGATCTCTTTCTGTAGTTGCAATGAGGTTAACGGGTTATGAACCCCTTGGTAACGTTAGTTGTAATGTATTCTTAATCTTGAAAACCAAATAAAACGTTTTTTTTTTCTTTTAAATTTGATAAAAATTTCGCTAATTTTTAAGGAGACGCGTGCTTTTGAGCTTGATTCAAAAGCCACACATCCATGTTCTAGAGTTTCAACTGAGTTGTTCATGCTGTCCCCATGCTAACCTCTGTAGCCTCTAACTATACTGTCTTGCAGAAAAAGGTTATTTAAAGCGATATTAATCAGAAAATAGTATCAAATTCCAACCGTAGGGATTGCCGTGGATATGAAGGTCACGTATTTAGCACAATATGAGCGTGAATGCAAAAGCTAAGGACGAATAAAGGACTTTTGTAAAACGTCCTTGGAGGAATCGAATACAGATGACGTACGTAGTGACCTCTGACCTGTGCTGAGGAACCCGAGAGGTCCGAGTCGATAGTTGAAGGTCACGACGATGACGTCACCGACGGCGGCCAGCGCCGTGGCGTCATATCCGGATCCGGAGCCCATCTGGAACGCGCCGCCGTGGATCCATACCATAACAGTGCCATCCTGCGGCTGGAGCGTGCACGACAACAAACTTGGATTTAAAAAAAGTGCAGTGTACAGTGAACCTGCTATGTGGCGCTACAGCATGACCCCAATGTTCCATCTAAGTGTACACGATGATAGCAACGTTGCAGCACAGACACAAAATGTATAATACACTTCAGCAGAAGGGAACCTTGTTGGTGTGGTTTTCTAGTCTCCAAATGAGCCAACTGTTCTCTCCAGCAGACCAACTCCCTTGGCATGCTATCTCTCTATTTGGCCGATTTCTACTCTTTCCGGCCGCCTCCCGAAGCCTGGTAGAGGCTAGGTCTATATATCAAATCAAATCAACTTTATTGCTCAACAACTGTAGCTGGTACAATGTGTATGGCAAAGAAACAACAATGGTGCATACACAAACTAATACTAAGATATAATTCTAAGGAGCTAGTCCATAATAATACTAAAGCTAATCTATTGTGTTTAGGAAGAGTATTATTACATTCTGTAATTCAGGGGATATATCAGCCCTTGAAACAGTCTGGCACCGAGCCTACAAAGAAGTCTGTACCGAGGCTATTAAAGACAGCCTGTTGCACGTTACGGCTGTCGGCACGATGAAAGCGTTCCAGCCGCCAAGTTTCCGTTCTACGCTAATGCCTCAATCATGGCCAGCCTCTGTTCTCGCCGCCGGACCGCTTTGCTACAACATCAGCGGGCTAGTCACGTCCGTAACGGTCCCTTCAATGGGCCTCCGTTTGCCGGGAATTAATGCTAACTACTCTCCAAGCAGAGCTTAGGCTTATGAAGCAAGTTTATAAACGCAACAAATTGGACTCACCCAAATTTTCGACTGTACAACTCCAGTCTTTGTCAAGGAATGAGCAATCCACCGCTTCCGTGACGTCACGCAGATTACACACGTGACTCCGTGAGTAGTGGATCATAGGTTGCAGAAAGTCTGTGGCGCCCCCCGTCTCTGTTGAGGGATGGTTGTAGTGCCCTGATGTAGATGGCCTATCTATAGCCTATGTAACCCAAGCTCCGGGGGGCTCCCTACATAGTCCGCGGCCGGCTGGATGTTGGGCGGCCGGCAAAAGCGATTTAATCAGCTGGCTAGCCTATCTAATCCCTCGACAGAGACGGGGGGCGCCACAGACCGAACTCTGCCAACCCCCTCCTTCTGTAACAATGGTCCGTCCCGTAAGAATGGACGACGCCGACGGATCGAACCCAGCTGGGTGACCTTGGGTGACCTTTCCGCCTGCCCTTTGCCACACTTTCACCCCCTTTCAACTTCCCGATGCAGAATCCCCAAGCAGAGGTGTGGAGTCGACTTGTTTTGGGACGTGAAAAGAGTAAAAATTGGCTAAATAGACAAAAAGATCTAACATACCAGGAGAGTTGGTTCACTTTAGAGCTACATTCGGGAGGCGGCAAATGATGAACATTATTATATGTACACTGCACGAAATGGCCTCGGATTCAAGCAGATGCGTACCGGGATTTGTCCGTATTTTTCGCAGATACAAGCGGATACTGACGGATCAGAATGGAATCCGCCAGAAAATCCGAAACATCGGTTACTGCAATCCGGAACCTATTCCGTACAAATCCGAAAAACGGGATTCTTATAGTATATATTCCACACAGAATACGCTCGGATTTGCCCGGGATTCGTACAGAAATGACCCCTGACAAATGCGTAACTCAGGATTTGAACTTTAATACCTTCACCATATTCCCATTCAGGATACATTCGGATACGTACAGGCTTAATAGGAGCTCCTGCAACTAAATAATTTATTATCAATACACAGTATAGCCTGAAACATATCGTGTGCAATTACCACTCCTAAGTGGACAGCTATGTCCTTACATTTGGGGTACATAGTTATCCATTTTGCTACCACTTACAAAAACTGTAACAAACATTTCTGTCCAACGTTACCCCCTAACAGTAAGCTATGCCTTTACATTTGAGGTCATAGTAAACAAACAAAAACTGTAATAAACATTTCTGTCCAACGTTACACCCTAACAGTAAGCTATGCCTTTACACTTGAGGTCATAGTAAACAAACAAAAACTGTAATAAACATTATTCTGCCCAAAGTTACCCTAAAATAGTTAGCTATGCGTTTACACTTGGGGTACATATCCATACACAAATCATAGTGAACTAACAAAAAACTGTAACAAACATTTCTGTCCACTGAAAAGTTACCCCCAAAGAGTGAACTTGGGGTACATATTCGTACACAAATCATGGAAAACGTGTTTCACTGGCCTCAGAAAATTCACCAGAAATAATACTGGACCTAAGTTAACATTTAGAAATCCATTGATTCAACTCTAACAAGATTGGATTTTTAGACTTGGAAGTGGAAGAAGGGTCACTGGGCCAGGTACCCTCTTTGTTCACTGCCGTTTTACCTGTTCACTTTAGTATGAAGTTTCAAATTTTTGGTCGAGCTCACTTTTGTATTTTGTAGATTTGGGCAGCCAAAGAATGGCCTTAGTAAAAAAAAGATTTCCATTTTCATCATAAACTGGCTCGTCTGGTGACATGTACTCCGGACAGCTTGAGCTTGAGCCGGTTACTGTATGGTTTCTTCACCTTCAAGGCGATGATCCAGTTTCTGTCGGCACAAAAGCCATTGATCATTTAATACATCATAAGACAGACTAGCAAAACCTTGTCACATACATCCTGGAGGTATAAAAAGGTAAACAAATACACAGGTGACAAAACGTGTCCCATGTCTTTATATAAACGTCTTCGGGATGAGGAGGCTCCGCCTGTAGTACTCCCTGCTGTTTGCAAATTACATTGGTCAGAAAACTTGGGCATCTTCAATGGACTAAAAGTAACATATAACTTGATCAAAATTTCTACCAGACATATAATAAAGGAATTGACAAATCGACTATACCTGAATACAATGAAAATACTGAACACTTTTTTTTTAAACTGCTCCCTATTTTTGTCAAGACGAGATTGGCCCGGCACCAATGCCTATTGACCGTTAGAAAGTATGAACAAGTTGCTACCCTACAAAGACAAGCCCCTAAAAGCCTTTCATCTATAATGTGGAGGGGGCAGGTTAGTTAGAGACATTTTATTATGTTTCTGGCAGCGACATATCAATAACCAAATAGGTACGATAACTGAACTTACCAAACGCCCGATGTGTTGGATCAAGTGCGCAGGGCCGCCGTGCAAGGGGGGGGGGGCGGCCGAAGCTTGCTACACACGTCACTATTCTGTGCGTTTGAATTGACATCACATCCTCCTCCTGTCCAAACACTATCAATCCTGTCCAAACTCGATGACCGATCATGGTAGACTAGTTATGTCATCATGGTATTACGAGAAAAAAGCGATACAAACGCCTGATTTCTCCCTAGTTTTCCCCTACATCGAAGCCAACTTTCCTAACGGTTTTCATTCTAACCGCCAACACGGTACGCATGCGTACGCTAGCTGGCCAATCAGAGGCATCATTTAGACTTTGCATCCTTTTATTGCATGCCTTCCTCAAGAAAGTTACATGTACGTGTTAGGTACCTGATTTATAAGGGATGCAGATTGTTTAAACTCGGAAAGATAGTATTACCCATGCTATATAAGTTTGGTAAATTCCAGATTTCGTGCAAGCGAGATCAGAAAATTTCCTCTTCTGGTATCTTTTTCGGATCTGCGGGATTCGTAATCCATATGAGGTCATATGAATGCCAAGTGGGATCTGTTGGGATCTGTGGAAGTGAATCTGCATCTGGTATCTTTTTCGGATCTTTGAAACTTGGAATCCATAGTAAGAGTCAGTCAAGTGCGAAATTCTGATATTCACAAATTTCTCTGCGTTTCTGGTATCTCTTTCGGATCTGTGGAAGATAGATCCGCAAAATCCCGCTTCTGGTATCGTTTACGGATCTGCAGAACCGTGATCCGTAAAATCCCGCTTCCGGTATCTCTTTCGGATCTGTGGAAGATAGATCCGCAAAATCCCGCTTCTGGTATCGTTTTCGAATCTGCAGAACCGTGATCCGTAAAATCCCGCTTCCGGCATCTCTTTCGGATCTGTGGAAGATAGATCCGTAAAATCCCGCTTCTGGTATCGTTTTCGGATCTGCAGAACCGTGATCCGTAAAATTCTGCTTTTGGTACCTTTATCGGATCTGTGGGACCAGGAATCCATAGCAGTACGAAATTCTGAGATCCGCAAAATCCCGTTGCTGCAAATCACTTTCGGATTTGTGGAAGCGAGATCTGCGAAATCCCGCTTCTGGTATCTTGTTCAGATCTGTGGAAGTGCGATCCGCGAAATCCCGCTTCTGTTATTTTGTTCGGAATCTGCGGGAGAGTCCAAAGCAGCAGTGCCCTGTGGGTTATTTTAGAATCCGTTTAATGCCCGGCAGGCGGATTTGCTGAAATCTGTGGTAGTACATGTATGACGCCATGATGGGTATTTATTGTATCTGTCAGGATCCGAGGCAACTCCAGACTCCCCTAAAAACCGAACTTATAACATATCCGAGAAAGAAGGTTCCTTGCGAATATCAAATTTGTATCTGTGATTTCCTAAAGATCCGGACGTATACGGTGCCGGAATTGTTGGATCTGCAGTGCTACTTCGTATTCTAGTAAGGATTGCGGATTTCTCCGGATTTGCTACGTATCCGTCATGATGCACGATTTCGGATCTTCAGGATTTGCTATAATCCGAGGCCATTTCGTGCAGTGGTAGTTCTTACTCCCCCGGCATGCTACTAGTATCTGTCTATTTAGCCAATTACTACTCTTTCTAGCCGCTTCTGAAGCCTGGTAGAGGCTAACGTATTCCAAGCTGAGTTTTCTTTCATCGGACACGCCATGAGACGTGGAAACCTCCCACCGATTTGTCTGGCTTGCCCTGCGACGAATTACGCAGAAACTGAACAAATTGGGTAAATTATTTGTCAGTTTGAGTCATTTTATACAGGGCGATTCAACTCCTCTGGTATTTATTATTCACACTCTCTGGCATATTTCTACTATATTGCAGTATTTCAGTCGCCAATGAAGCCTGGTCTAGGTTAGGAATCATTGGCAAACCTCCAGAAGGCTGAAGTCAATAGCCTGTATGTATTTGCATAGTTAGAATGCCGGCGGCAGTGTTGTGGTGTCAGCCGATACTGTATTTTGTACATGTCGTGGGTTGACAACATGTCGGGTGTCACTGACCCGTGTGGACTTTCTCTTTTTCCTTGTTTACTTTCACTTTGTTTTCTTGGGAAGTAGACAGGATTGTACGTAAAACTTTGTTCTGGTGTTAGACCAAGGACATTCTACAACAGTGATGGAAGCTCTTTGGTTTAGATTGTTAAGATTTTTGATGCTGTGACAGAACCTCCAAGACAGCTAAATTTTTCTGAGAACACATGCACGACTCTCCTGAATTATGTCCTAAAATTTGAGCAACGTTTATCAATTATTTAAGCTGGCGAAGGTTTTGCACTCACCACTGGTTTTGGGTGTCAAACATACAAGTTCAGTGTCAAAAGTCTTCGCTTTACACCGAAGCCTGGATGCCAGACTGCTTTGAGGCAAAACACAGGTAGTAAAGCACAGGCCAGCTCCTCGGTTCTAGGGTTAGGGTTAGGAGACTGGCATCCAGACGCCTACTACTAGAAGTAGTACTAGTACTGACTACATGCTAGTATTAAAGATTGTGGATATCCCACACTTACCGCTGGTTTTGGAACATACACGTTCAGTGTCAAGCAGTCCTCGCTTTGTGCCGACGGGTCGGGTACGTCCGGACCACCATAGCCGCTCTGCGGGCACACCATCCCGAAGCTCTGGGCGTCAACCTCCCCGGCCAGACTCAGCGGTCTCGGCGGGCGGAACCGCAACCTCCCTACCGGCGGTTCGGCGTAGGGTAGCCCCTTGAAGATGTGGACATCCCGAGTGAGCCCGGCTCCGTTAAACCGTTTGGTGACGCCGCGGATGGTAGCGGTGGCCGTACCGACTACAGGTACGGGGTCCGCTCGGGCGGAGGCGAACCAGGTGCCGAGGAGCAAGGCGGTGAGGATCGGTGACTGTTGCCGGAGCATGGTACTGTACTGTAGTCTCTGACACTTAGCCTGGTAACCAGACCGCCGTGAGCTCAGCGCTATCCCTTCGGCGCCGAGAGCGTTTGGGGCCGCCAACCAGGCCTCAATTTATACCGCGCTTCGGGGGCGTTTTAAGTTTCTTCGCCCACACAACGTTAAAGTCTGGCCCTTTCTTCGCTCACTTTGGGTCGGCGGCAACAGAAAACTGAGTAGTACTTCAGGAAGTCAGCGGATACAGAGAAACCAGCTGGAGATAGGTCCGTGGTATATAACTCGCCTGTGCTTGGTAAAGGCTGGGGTCGAAAAATTACCGCCTAGCCGACCAAAGGTTTGGTACCCAGGCTAAAGTTCGGTGTGGACCCGAGAAGTTTACATGTGCACGCTAAAGACCTAACCTCGCTCCGGGAGCCTGACCGCGTAAACAGCTGGGTAGCCTCGAAATTCAGACCCCTTAGGAGATCTTAGGAAAGCTTCAGTACCGTCTCTTTTCTGCTAAACTTTAGGATCGCTACCATGTACGCTAAAGACCTATTAACCTCACTCCAGGAGGCCTGACCGCGTAAACAGCTGTGTAGCCTCGAAATTCAGACCCCTTAGGAGACCTGGTACAAATTGTGCACGCTAAAGACCTAACCTCACTCTAGGAAGCCTGACAGTCTAAACAGCTGTGTAGCCTCGAAATTCAGACCCCTCAGGATGTCTCCTAAAAGCTCCGTCTTTTTCAAAGGCGAAGGGTTAGGGATCTGGGGTCTGTGTGCCGTTTTACAGGGTGGCGTTGGAGACTTCAAAATATTGAAGTATATTAATATTATTTATAATAATTATCATTATTATTATTATTTTTATAAATATTATTCTTGAAAGCAAAAAAAAGGAAGGACAATCACGACTAAGAAGATTTTTGCACTTCTTGGTTCCTCTTGTGTATTTGCCAAGAAGCTATATGTTCACATGTATTCTTTGCTCAAATCTTTCATTAAGCACTTGCCATACTTTTTGTCATCATCATCATCATACAGTGTATCTGTTACAATTATTGTGCGATTAAGTTAGACTTAACTTGACTAAAGACGTGGATAGTACAATCAAGGAGCTTCAAATTGATTTTTAACCTCCTCGGTACAACAGAAGCCCGTTTAACGGTTCAACTGCCCTTCTTAATCGACCCACACATTTGTATGGGTATTATAAGCAGTATATAGGCAAACCCACGTTGATATTGCCATATTATTATATTGATTTTTCTGGCCAAGAAATACAGTAACTCTGTTTCTTTCTTTCGTTGCTAGAACCTGCAGTACCTAATTACGGCGCCCTCTCGGCAGGCGGCGCTTTTTGGCCATGGCCATGGCCATCTCGCGCAGTTTCGCGAGATTTCGGTGTTTTCCCGCCTTCACAGCTTTTCCGAACAGAGACTTCGGTTTTGCCGACATCTTCAGACCTGTCTTTGTCTTCGTTTCCTTGTCAAGTTTGGTTTTATTTTCCTTCTTCACGTCAGCAGCATTGGACAAGAGTCCAGTCAGCTTCTTCTCGGTACTTATTACTTTCTTCTTATCTTCCATGGTCAGAAGAACTTCCTTGGAGATCTTGCCCTTGGTGCCTTTGTCACTAATCTTGTTCTTCCGGGCAAGATCCTTTGGCAGAGGGCGAACTGGTGACTTCTCTTCCTTTCCGACGCTCAAAACTTCTTCCTCGAGGAATTCGTCCGAGCTCTTCATTACCTTTTCCTTGGAGAGATAGTAAGGAGGTATTTTGGACGTCCTGTCGGAACTTTGGGGGTGTTCTTTGTCGGGTTTTCCTTGTAGGGCTGTGTTGCGTGCCATAAAAGCTCCCTGTAGAAAAGGCGAAGCTGGCTTTAAACCCTTGTTCTCTGCACTGCGCTCCGTTTCCTTCTCCTTACTGAATAATTCTTCTGGGCTCCTTATCTTATCACCTCCACTGTTCACGTCTTCAGGGTCTTCTTGGGATGTCTTAGCAACTCCGTCTGTAAGAAGGTTGTTCTTGATCTTGAGGATTTTATGTTTCTTAGCTTCCTTGTGGGCTTCATCGGAGCTCCTCAGCTTGCCCTCTTCAGAAAGGTAATAAGATGTCTTCTTGACGCTGGTTGCGTCTCCTTTCAGGTGTTTATGCTCGTCTGGTTGTTCTTGTGATTTTGGTGCCTTGATGCCGTGTGCTTTCAGATGTGACTGCGCGATGCCGGCAGCAATGAGAGCTTTACGCTGAACCTTCTCCGCGGCTGCAGCTTTCTGTGACAGCGACACTCTCACATGTTCCACCTCGTTGCCTTCTCCCTCGAGCTCATTTTCCTTTTCGTCGTCATTTTCTGGTCCTTGTAGCTGATCATGAGTTATCCTAGCTTCTGTCTTTGCATTCTTGGTTGTCATGCTGTCGTCAGCCGGCTTCTGTGACGCTCTCACGTTGACTTCTCCCTCATTTTTCTTTTCGTCAAGTTCTGTCTCTTGAAATTGAGTTGTCCTAGTTTCTATCTTTCCATTCTTGGTCGGCGTGCTGTCAGCCGGCTTCTGTGGCAGCAATTCTTCGGCAGGGGCTACGTTGTCCTCCTCCTCTTTTCCTGTTTCGTCTGACTTCTCGTCTTGCTGTTCTTCTTCAAGTCCTTGCAGATGCGCTAGTGTAGCTTTTATGTTCGCAAGTCTGGTCAGCGGGTCCCCCTCCTTTGTCTCGCCGACGTCTTCGTCTTCTTGGTCGTTTTGGTCGTCGTTTGTGCCTTCCTCAGTGTCGTGACCTGTCTTGATGTGTTCTTCAGCACGTTGTGCGCTTTCTTGACTTGTCTTCAAGGATAGATCATCCTCGTCTTCCATCAAGGAGTCTTTGAACTTTCGCTCGTCTTGATCTTGAGGATTTATGACAGATTGTGCCTTATCCACGTCGCCCAGGATCTGTGACTCTTCCGTGAGATTTTCTTCGTTCTGATCCTCTTCCTTGTTCTCAGCCAAGGATTCCTCTGGCCCTTTGCTAAGATCTTCGCCAGACTCCTTCCTAGTTTGCTCGCCTTTCCCAGTTCCGCCCAGATGCTCCTCAGGCTCCGCAACTGCTAAGTTCAGACCCTCAACAGACTCAACCTTCTTAAACTGCACCTTTCCCTCGTCCTCTTCTATATTTCCTCCAGCCTCCTCTCTGGTCCTTTCTTCTTCCGTATCTTTCACAGCGTCTTGTGTGTCCTGATTTTCGTCTATTTCTTCCTCTACCTTTGCTTCTGAAGATTCTCCAGCCGTTTCTTCCTCCATGTCGTCTTTCCCGTTTTCTTGGTTACCCGATTCTTCGGCTATTTTGGCCTGGACGACGCTTAGAACTTCAGGTGGCAACATCTCCTTTGCTTCTTCAAGAGCCTCCTCTTTTTCTTCCTCGGATCCATCCTTCATTTTCTTCACAACCTTCGCCAGAGCCGCCATCCTTTGCATCAGCTTGATCTTCTCCACAATGCTGTTAGTTTCAGCTTCCGCAGTATCTTCTGTGAGTTCCTCTTTGGCAGATCTAGATCCTTCGGCGTTTTCGGCATCTCCTGCAACAGGGCCGCTCGAGTCTGTGTTTACCTCAGGCTCCAGATCGCCAATGTCTTTTCCTTGGAATTCTTGCGTTTCTTCTGGAGTAGGGTCGTCCTTTTCTTGTTCGTGCGCTCTCTCTTCTGCCTCCTGACGAATCTTCCCTATAGTTTCCATGATTGCCTGTTGAGCCTGGCTTCTGCTTTCCAAGTTGTTGTCTTCCAATTTTTCCTCCTCCGTCTTTGCAATCGCTTCCTCGGAGTTCAGCTGCTTCTTCTGGTTTGAGGCAGCTGCTTGGAGTTCTGCCACCGTATCCAAGACCCTCTTTGCCTTCTCTTTACTACTTTGCTCCTTCTGCTCTGAAGCAGCTGCTTGGAGTTCTGCCATCGTGTCTAAGACCCTCTTTGCCTTCTCTTCCTTACTTTGATCCTTCAATGCCTCATCCTGTGGCTTGTTGTTGGCAATCTGGTCTACACTGCCTATGTCGTCCACAATATTGTTTTCCTTCTGACTGTCTTCTAACCCATTCTTACTTGCTTCATCACTAGCCATGTGCTTAAGCTTTCGTAACTCGTTGACTTGTTGCAGAACATTGAAGGCGTTTTGATCTGAATCAACCTTTCCGTCCTGGCTTGGAGCAGGTTTTGGTGCTTCTTTGTTGTTTTCCTGCTCCGTGTTTTCTGCGCTCACAGTCGGGTCAGCAGTATCCAGCGCCTTAGCCACCTGACCCGCTGCTTCTATACTGGCAGAACTCTCTTCGTACCCTTTTGCGAACTCCATCGCGTTCCTGATCGCTGTCATGACTTGAAGTTCCTTCTCTTTGTTTTCGGGTGTCAGGGGCGGTTGTTTAGACTCAGTAGTAGGCTCTGCAGTCTTAGCTTCTTCACTGGCCGGAGTTTCTTGCCTCCCCTCCTTAGCTATTGCTACTGCCTTCTTTATCGCTTCCTCCAAAGCTCTCGCAGCTTCTTCCTCGTCATGGGACGTCGGCTCCTCCTCGTTGACAGCTTTTGGAGCAGAATTGTCGTTGGCAATCTCTAGGTTTCCTTCCTCATTGTTTTTGGGCGTATCATCTGCTTCTATACTTGCAGGTTGTTTCTTACGCCCATTTGCCAACTCCGTAGCATGCTTTATCGCTTGGATGACTTGGAGTTTCTTCTCAGTGCTTTCCGGTGTCAATGCAGGTTTTAAGCCTTCCGAGGCCTCTGTGTTTTCCTCCTGTGCCAGCACAGCGTTTGTCTCTTTCTCTTGGGCGGCTTCTGAAGGAGCAGGAACTGCGTTTTCGGTATCCCCTTCATCTGATGTGCTGCTCGACTCCTCCTGACCAGTTACCTCAGACTCCTCGGTTTGTTTCTTGGCCATCTCTTGCATCAGTCGAATCTTTTCCTCAAGGTTGATTGCTTCGGCTGCTCCAGCGTCTGTACTGGCCGACGTGTCTTGCTGTGCTTTTGCGATCGCCATAGCCTTCATGATCGCGCCTAAAGCTTTCGCCGGACCGTCGCTCTTGGTAGCAGTCTCTTCGTTCGCATCAGCAGTAGTTTGGTCTTTCTCACTTAAGCTTGACTGGAGGATAATTTTCGGGGATTCTTCCATGGTGGGTCCTCCTTTTCCTGCTTCTTTGCTTTGTCTGGCGTCCGTCTTGTGGTCTTCGGAGTCTTCCTCTGTTGGATTAGCGTCGTCGGATGTTGTTTTATCTCCTGTTACCAGTCGTCCCGACTCTCTAAGACTCTCCTTTCTAAGGGAGGACAGGGTGGAATGTTCGGCTGGTCTTGCGACATCATCATCAGGCTCAGCTGGTGACTCATGAATTGATGGTCTTTCTGGTGCTTTTCCTTCGGTTTGTCCTGGGTTCTCTTCGCGGGCTCCTGATCCCTCTTTCTGCTTTTCTTCATCGGAAGCTTTGTCCTCTTTGTTCACCGGGTGTAACCGTCCCGACTGTCGGAGCTTTTCTCGTACAAGCGGGGACGGGGAGGGCCGTTCGGCTGTTTCCACGGCATCTTTGTCCATGTCGCCTTGTTCTTGATCTAACTTGGACTTAATGACGCTCAGAACTTCAGGTGGCAACACCTCCTTGGCTTCTTCAAGAGCCTCCTCTTTTTCTTCTTCGGATCCCTCCTTCATTTTCTTCATCATCTTTGCCAGCGCCGCCATCCTTTGCATCATCTGGATCTTCTCTACAATACTGCTTGCTGCAGCTGCCCCAGCATCATCTAAATCCGCTTGAGCGTCTGAAGTAGGATCGACATTTTCGGAAGAGGAAACCTTTGCCAACGCCGCCATCTTTTGCATCATTTGAATCTTCTCTACAACGCTGTTTGCTGCAGCTGCCCCTGCATCTTCTGAGTTTTCCTCTTGTGCCAGCACAGCGTTTGTCTCTTTCTCTTCGGCGGCTTGTGAAGGAGCAGGAACTGCGTTTTCGGCATCCCCTTCATCTAATGTGCTGCTTGACGACACCTGACCAGTTACCTCAGACTCCTCGGCTTCTTTCTTGGCCATTTCTTGCATCAGTCGAATCTTCTCCACAAGGCTGCTTGCTTTGGCTGCCCCAGCATCTTCCTTGCCTTCCTCTTGAGGGGCTGTTTCCGGAGTAGGATCAGCTTTTGCCTCAGACTCCTCCGCTTGCTTCTTGGTGTTATCGAGTTCTTCGCCGACCTGGTGGCGACACAAAGACGGCCGTTAGAAGACGTTCCATGACTGGTGGCATCTTTAAGAACCAAGGGGGCAGTTCACAAGACTTTTTCTCTGTGCTCAACAGTGGTGGTTTAAAAATAAGTCATAACGTCTTCGTTCATGAACTTGAGGTACGTCCCAGATTTAAAATGACAAGACCAAAGAAGCACACGAGGCATTCGTGCTCTAATTCACATCTTTATTTCTATATGTATTATGTTGACGTCGCAGGAAGCGAGCTTGAGGGTATACTACACAATCGCCTCATCTGACATCTGCTTGGAGATAACTGACTCATGAGAATGAATTTATCTGCTGTTTTTCCTTTTCTACGAGATGTTAAATGAACGCAATTCAGAAGTACTAATGTATATACTTCTGCATGGCTGGTTGAATCTTAACAAAGTTTGATGTTTGAGGTTTATACCGGATGCGGGTTGCGGCCGTGGACGCTCTCCTGGTGTTTCTGGTGCTTGTGGACCTCATGCCCGCTGCCCCTGCTGGCCTCCTCAGCCTTAGCGTGTTCCACACCCTGCAGGGTTTGCTTCAGACCGTGGTGGAGGGACTCGCTGTGTTTTCCAGTCAGCACGCCTGGGTAAGGGTGCTAGAGACGAGGACACAAAAGACAAAACACAAACAATTCAATCGTCAAAAAGTTTCAGCAGGTTGGTGAATAGCAAAATACTTCATGTAGAACTAGAACCACCTGCTGAACAAGAGTCAACATTTCGACGACCGTCTGTCTTCTTCATCATGTTGGTGAATGATTGAATAGCAAAGTACTATAGTCTCAATCACTTATTTAACAAGACCCGACGTTTCATTGACCGTCTGTCATCTTCATCGGGCTTGGTCGATTTAATAATAGGACAGTGCACACGAACCAGCCATTCGAAGGCTGACCGTGTTTTCCATTAAATCAACTGTCTGAATCACAGTCAGAAGACACAAACCTCGTGACCCTTCTCCTCTTCTGGATCCACCATTGGAGCATGTCCTTCGTGGGCCTGGGAAGGAGGGAAAGGGGGGAATGGAATCAGCAAGAATGCAAGCGGGTCTGCATAGGGGTCGTACCGTCAACGCTCTATGCTAATCTCCGAAAGTGGCTACTTATAATAACGTTACGTAATTTCGACAGGCTGACTTGACTTAACGAGTGGTTCAGGCAACAACTGGGCTACATGGATGGAGGCTGACGAACAAGTGTATATGTATTACGTCCTCCATGGTTTACAAATAAAAGATAAGTCAAGCATTATGTGGATTTTTTGTTATTTTATACTCTGTTTCAATGTTCTTTTATGTTTGTCTGTCACTTATAATAACTCTGTATATGACGTCACGGGTGTTTTGGTCGCCATATTGGTGTCCATATTAGCATATCAGGGAATCGCACATCACAACAGGACCAACATGTCTGATAACGTTCATTGCTATGATACCTTCGTGATTGACATAAATATTCGAAGATATTAGATTAATCAGATAAGTGAATATGCTAATGAAGTGTGCTTACGTCATGTCGGCTCCCAGACTGCACCGCGTTGTGTCCCCGGAGGAAGTCGGGCACCATGTCCGCCGCGTCGCCTCTCGGGTCTTCTCGCGAGATCTCGCTCACGTGACGCATCACCTCCTGCATCTTCATCACATTGTCCACGTGACTGCTGCGTCCGTACCTGGTGGGTAAGGAGGTATGTTGAATCCAGAACCATACCTGAGGAAATCCACGTTCTTGGATATATGGAGGCTCCGGCATGGTTCTGGATAGTCCAGGCGTATCCAGAACCGTGCCTGGTTCTAACCCTGCTTGACTTCTAACCCTAATACCTTCAGGCATAGAATTAGATGGGCACATTTGGATACAATAAGGTATTTTGTTAACAGGCTATAGAGTCCACCGTCGACGTCATCTCTACATACTAAATACTGCAGGCAAATGTAATTCATTCAAAGTAAAACAGGTGTTTCATTCATTCATTCGTTTATCCATTCATTCATTTCCTCACCCAAACATGACGGAGTATCAATTAAAAGAAATGTCTTTTTCACGACAAGAAAAATCACCTTGCGATGTAACCTTCGACCTGCTGTTCGGGCTGCCGGAAGTGCTGTGACGACACACGCTCCAGGTCGGCAGGCTTCACGGCCGTGACGTCACTTCCGCTGGGACGGAGGAGCTTGCTCAGGACCGGGTTGCTTCGCGCGTTCTGAGGGAACAGACCATAATATTTTCAGCCACGTGACAGGGACGTCATCTAGCGTCCGCCATGTTGGTAGGTCAAACTCGTCTGCTGAGCCTTTATGTATGACGTCATCATTCATTTTCCGACGCCATATCCTGTGCACTGGCCGCCATCTTGGATCCACTTACTCCACCTCCAACATGGCGACTAAACTTGTGACAGAATGGTGACGTCGGCCCTACAGTAGGACGTGTATGGCGACGTAACAGCCCCACCTAGCGGCGCGAATAGTTTCACCAGGTTGGTAAATTACTAGTACATGTACTGAGTATTGCAAATTGGGGTTGCCTTGTACACAACCATATGGTATTTACCTGCCAACTCAGTTTCAGCCAGCTTCCATTCGTAAGGCGTCAATCTAGAGTACTTCTCCAATCCGGCGCAAGGTGTCGCTTTTACGTCCTTGTATGTACCAATAGATGTATACAGACTGAGATCAATGCACGAACAGATGCCATCCACAAAATCAATTTCGTGGGCCAGAAACGGTGCATTGTACTTATATTTCTACTCGCTAAATTCGCATATTTACCTCATGTTGTTTCTTCTCGGTCTTTTCTTCGTCGGCCTTCAAGTTTGTGGCAACCTGTAAGATAGATATCTACATGTAGAGGGTAAAAAGGCAGTCATGAAGTAGAAAATAACAAATAAAAATACATATAATACAGGTTAAGAACAATACATAAAAACATACATACTGCAACAAACCTACGTTGTGTTCACTTCACATGCCCTGTATTGTCTTACAAGCTCGTCAGTTGTTTGAAAAGAGTAGATTCAATTTCTAAATTGAACTTAAAATTCAACTTATGATCAACGATACCTTCTGCTCCACGTATTTCACCCAGTCCTTCGGTTTGAGCGAGTCCGCAGGGTTTTCAATTCCCGCCTTTTTCTCCAGAAAACTGTCCACGAGGGCTGTCTTCTTATCCGACTTCGCGTCTTCACGGCAAGAAAAGAAGGAAAAACAAGTTACTAGTAGTAACACTAACAGTTACTCAAGCAACTGGATAGATTTTGACGTTTCGGGTAGCATCCACCATCTAGCCTCTACCAGGCTTCGGGAGGCGACTGGAAAGAGTAGAAATCGGCCAGAGAGATAACATGCCGGGGGAGTTTGCCGCTCGGTCCTCTCCCAGCAGATAAACTCCCCTGGCATGTTGTCTCTCTATTAGGCCGATTTCTACTCTTTAGCCTCTAGCCTGGTAGAGGCTATCCACTATCCCCCATCTGTCAGCGGCGAAAAGAAGTGGATTGTGCCTGTAATATGTATATCTAACCTACATGTAAAATCTGTGGATAAAGCCATACGGTTTAGTACTTTGATAAACTGTCAAAAAGGCATTGTATATGGATTAAAATTATGCTTTGGCTTAAATCGCTACTTAAAATTATGCTTGGCTTAAACCGCTACTTAAAAAGTGTGCAGAAAGAACTTACTCTTTGGATGTAAGTTTGCCGATGTACAGCTTAGGAGAACAGCCAACGTCAGGAATATTCCCAACTTCATTTTTTTTTTTCAAAATCCCCCGAGCGGCACTAGCGAAAATCGTGCCACTCAGTCTTGTTGTGGAGTAATGACGGCTTTTTTTCTGTACAATTTGAAATGGACCAGTCTATTTCTTGCGGGTAATTTACTAAAAAAAGGCATCAGTGTTCATTACATTATTCGCAATAAAAGACGCTTGAGTTGCGCTGTGGGCATGGGAAAAATACTGTTACGAATTGTTGCACATATATGTAAATAAAACGTGGCCCTTAGAATTAGATTTCATGATAGAAAAAAATTAGTTTTTTGATGTCACCCCATTTTTATGATCCTGATGGCTGGTCCTGTCCTTGTCATAAGAAGATGTTCATGTATTGATTGACGGCAAGCTGCCACGTCCGCAGTGATTCACGTCAGTACCCGTGCAGGCAGAACTAGCTCAATTCTGTGGACACATCAGCACCGCGCGCATTGATTTTGACTCGTTTCGTGAAATACGCAACAAGAAATGCGCATGATGAAACTATGACGCTTTTTTTTTTCAGTGGATTCGGCCCAAAACGCTAGGTGTATGGTTTGCTTGCAAGCTTGAGTTGGCCGATAGAGTTAGCCTGGGTACCATCCGATTTTTAAACGGGACATACCCCTCACCCCCCCCCTCCCAAAAATGAATGAACCCTGGTCGCACCTAGAGGGTCTGCAGATGAGGCTACCTTGCCACCAAATTTGTTGTTCACACTGATGTGAACCATAATATGAAAATCATTCGGCCCCTCATTCATTGTATGCTCACTTGTAACAGCTGTTTTCCCGCTCGAAAACACCTTTTGTCTGTGACCTTCTTTCTTTTCTTTCGAACTCAAGTCACCACCAAATAAGGGCTTTTTATCAGACGACATTTCCGATAGTATAAGAATGACGTCATAAAAGAACACAGACATTGACCTTTACTGCCCAAAGGGTGTGACGTCACAATATGTCCCACTATATAGTTTATTATGACATCACTCACTCACTCACTCACTCACTCACTCACTCACTCTCTTTCTCTCTCCACAATTATTTACGTGGTGAAAAGTATTTCACTGTGAACGTCTTGGGAGCAGATTACGAATTTCGCGCGTTTGCATGAACCAATCAGCTAGGTTCTACCAAAAGCGAGCCAGTTTCTCCACCCCAAAAGATCATTCTTCATTCCAGTCACGGGTCTGACAGGCACTGCCTATTTTGGGCAACTAAGGCGTTCACCACGCGCATTGGTACCGTCACCAGATCCCCCGGCCAAACTTGTTTATTGATTCCGTCCACCTCCGCGTGTCGTGTAAACAAAGTAGTCCCACCCGTAAAACCCCTCACTACACCCACTCCACACAACTAATACAGGCAGTTTCAAAAGAAAACATAAAGAGTTGTACTAGGTTAACTTTTATGAGGAAAAAGAAGAAGTTTGAGTGAGGAGTTTGTGAAATTTGGTGTGATGTCAGACGATAGGATGTGTGTGGAGCCCGTGCTAGCATGCCGGGAATCCCCGTGCGTCTGTGGCGCGCTCCCGCACGGTGAGTGTTTTCTGAATATTATTTTGTGATAAAATTTTCGAGGGAAACGCGCCGAACACAGCGAAAAACCGCCTGCCTCCCCAGATTGCACCTCTCTGCTTGCAAAATGCAGTCGTTGCGTTATTTCGGGGTTGCAGGCGCCCGGCGCGTTTTCCCAAAGCGGCACAAAGTGCGTAGGTGCCACGGGCGGGCCCCAGGTCACGTAAAGCCTGCGCAGCTCGGTAAAATCGGCCCAGAAAAGCCGCCGAGTTTTCGGCGCTGTCTCGGTCCTAGCCTAGCCGAGCTGGCGGCCAATTTCTAGCGGGTTTTTGCACTCGTCTGGTTCCAAATCCGGACAGGGTGGTTGGTGGGCGGGTGGGGGCGAATTCGGGGGCCTACCAGGACAATTACTGTGGCGTCTAAGCCAGTATTTTTGCATAAAATTTTTGTACTGCCGACAGCGATCAGCGGCCGTGTTTCATTATTTTTCGCCCTCCCCCTTGAAACTTCCTAAAGCTATCGTATGTAGAGTTACTGAGGGGGCAGTTGGGTGTTTCTATAGCGATTTTAAGGCTGTTAAAAGACATAATTTGACGTGAATATTGGATAATATTTGCTCACATAGCGTCGTTTTATCACGAAGCCATCAGCTACGTCAAAAAGGGGCCCCTTGGCAACTCGCATTTTGTCGTCTGACAAACTTTGTAGAACTTCCTAGCCATCTTTCCCCCTCCCACATGCCCATACAATCCACATATCAAGCGTAAATATAAATTTATCATGCAATAACGCTTGTTGATTAGTTATTTTGACCAGTAAAGCTAGCATTTGTGTGACCGCCCTCCCCCATTTCAAGTCCGCCATGACACCCGCGATCGAGCGGGGTTTTGGGCGACTTTTTGTCGGGACTAGAACGCTCGAACGCCCGCCTGCGCCTCGCCAAACTGCTGGGTGTTCTGTGGTTGGTGGCGAGAGCGATTCACACGGAAGCAACATTTGGGAGGAAACTGGAACTGATCGCCTAAATAGATCCGTCTTTGACCACGACAGCTTGGGGCACCGAAAGGGTGTTTCCAGTCTGTGCATAATTAATGAGCCCGAAATTCACGCAATTTTCACCAAATCCTTGTAGTTACGCTACGAAAATCTCATCTAAATGTTTCTTCTGGTGTATTTCTCCCCCAAGAAATATGAGAAAAGTGAATTTAGGGAAATATTCGCAATTTTTCTATAAGGTTTTGACAAACAGGCACTGTCTGCAACGGGCAGCTGAAAAGAGAAACTATTTTCTGCCAGGACTGACATCTTGATTGGGCAGTGACGTGTCAGTCCCTGATTGGTGGAAATGTGTGTGAGTGTCATGCATCCCCAGTGAGGACCTTTGGAAGCCATCTATTCAAAACAGACCAATGACAGCAAAGCAGCGACACTTGTGTCTCCTGTGTAAAATAATCTGTCAAATCTGCGACCGACCAGTCCGAATGTTTGCGAAAACACGGTCCAATCGGCAGCGCACACAAAAAACATAGTTTGTCATGAGTTACTGTGCTAGCTATGCCCCCCTCCCGTGTACACTATATGACATCCAGTAGATTTCTAGCGGGGACCAATCATAGGGCTGCTGACGCGTCACCGACTAGCGGCTATTAGCACCTTGTTTCATGTAAATGCCATGAACTCAACCAGAGCGCGTATATTGTTTCTTGTTTACATCTGATTCAGTACTAAGTACTAGTACTTCCACAATCAGTTAGTAAAGTCATACCTTAGTAAAATCTACTTTGATGAACGAATCAAAACGGGACTGTAGACATTAAGTTTTACACATTCAAATGTGGCTGCACTAGCGCTAATGGAGCGACCACTACGTACGGGAAGGAACGGATCTTAGCGAAGCCGAGATTTGTGAACCAAACACAACCCATCTAAGACGGGCCGCCAAACATAAAAATGGAGGGAAATGACAGACAACAAGCCAACAAAGACAACATCACCAGACTAACAAACTTAGAAAACACCACTTCCAGCGCTAACGTTGTAAGAACTGTGGAACCTCAAACTAGTATGTTTGCCTCAGCGGAAAGGCTGCCGAAGTAACCACTACATGAAAAACTGCGGCGAAAAAGTAACATGGGTTCGTCCCAAATCTAGACGCAAGTGAGCTACAAAAGTAATAGAACCTATGCATCTTGCTTGTTGCTGTCAACTTACCCGTTAAAGATTGAACCGATACATGTACGTACTATAACTTGCCATACCCGGCCAAAGACGACTACATTACTGTTACTCTTTATTTTGTGCTGTATAATGTTTATCCGTTACATTATCTATCATTGTCATTTCTGTGAATTCCTTAAAACATCTACTGTTAGTTTGTGTAACATTACGTAGTGCTACAATCTGCGTAAAAAGTGGGCTTCATTACGTGTTATCTGCTAAGTCGTGTTGGTATTGAAAACTGTTTTATTTTGCCGTTCTTCTACAAACAACAAGCAGAATTATGAAGATACTCGTTCTCAATACACATGCTGCAAACTAAAGTAATGGCAGTCCTACGAAAATTCTGTTTGTAATGTATAAGCGCTTTATGTCGACGAACAATGGGTGTGAAATACATGTTTTCGCCCATCGTGTGCCACCGGCTCGGTGGTAATTGGCTACTTTACAAGTGAAAGAACCGCGTCCGTGGGCCTTGATAAATTATTCAAATTATTCAGCAGCCCTCTGATTGGTCCCCGCTAGAAATTTACTGGATGTCATTCAGTGACGAGCCCCCCCTCCCCCTCCAAAAATCCTCTTGGGTCTCTTGATTACGTAATGACCTTGATTACCTTATAATGTTAGATATGGCATTAGCACATTTGAAAATTTATGTACCCCCCTCTCCTACTTTTCTTTTACAATTTACATTCCATTTATTTTAGGTAGAAGTTGATTTTATTGGGTTTGAGAATTGCAATGTTGTCACTGAAATAAAACCAATTTACAATTTAAAAAACTTGTTTAGGTATTTTAAATTGCACTGGTAATACACGGAAAAGTGATAGCACAATTGTCGTCACTTTTAACACTGGTAGGATAGACATGGACAAATTGCCATGTCAAACATACAAGATTTAAAATATCATTTCTGTGGTGAATAATTTTCTTATTCCTGTCCCCTCCCCAATAAAATATGGACTAGCCCATGTCCCCTTTTGTAGGTCACAGTTTTGTGTTTTGTTCCTGTAGAATGAAAACTCTACATACAGTAATAGGCAGGGGGGCAAGCCCTTTTCCGTAGAGCGTAATCGGCTGTTTTAATTCTACATAGAGTATAGACAGACCGCTCTTCACATTTTGCGTAGAGCGTATTCGCCGTTTTAATTCTACGTAATGCGTTGTAGCCACTTGGAATTTATCGTAAAGTGTAATCAAGAGGTTTCCGAATTCAGCGTAGAGCATTCTCGGGACCCCCCCTTGCAGGCCCTCTAATAGGGATTTTTTTGCAAGTGTAACATGTTACAACTTGATGTGTTATGGCATGTCTTAGTAGTACGGTACTACCTATGGCAAAAGCAGACTGAAAAGTCATTTAACAACATACACAGCCACAAGTAACTTTTTTGAGAATGACAATAAAATTTGTTGCTAGCTTAAATTAGCTTTGTTTAGATGCTAGAATAGATTTGATAGATATCAGCTACACACATCGCGATTGTGCTTTATTGTGTGGTAAACCTGTGTGAAATGATTACTGTTCACTATTATTTAAATAATTAATAATTTGCATTTTTTTCTTCCAGTTGTACTCGATGGTCATGGAGGATGGGAGATGCCTCTTAGACGTGATAAAGTGAGTAGAACAACTAGAAAAATGTGACTGATTATGAAAAGAAACGTCCATACTTGCATACTAACATACTGTTAAGAAAACTTTACTTTTCATTGATTGAAAGTATGGCTACATTCCTAAGTCCCCATGCTCTCCTCTGTTTTGGTTCTCCATGTTGTAAGGCAATATGGGATCTCTCTCATTTAAATGCTTATGATTTTGAAATTACATGTACATGTATAATAATTTGTTGTTTCTTGACTTCTGACAGTGACCCCCAGGCCCTGAACGAGTTTATGCAGAATGACGACCTCAGCGGAAATGGACAGGTATGTGAGATGCTGTTTATTGTTTGTTTGTTTGTTAAAATTCACCACACACATGTGGAATGGTTGATAGCACACATGTTTACTGCCTCTCACTCTGGTGTGGGTGACATACATTCACTGTCATATTATGGTCTTTAGAAGTGTGATCTTCAACAACAATGTTCCTTGTCTGCCAGGTGGTATCTAGCACTACTGCTACTATTATCATGCATAATTATTAATGATCAGAGCCTGAAATGGTTTCGGGAAACTTTCATAGTTTATCTTTATTTCAAGTAATTGTCAGATTGTACTAATTTGTACTATAGAGTCATTACACTAACAAAGCTTGGATCCGTTGAACTTGAAATGCATTTATCCACAATTTTTGTTTGTTTCTCCAAGGTTTGATAAAAGCCCTCCTGTGAGGCTAAGACCTGACATTTAATTTTTAGTTTTTGAGATTTAATCATCAATTTAACAGGTGAAGGCTTATTCACAGTGACACCACCCTCTACAATGTTTTCTATTTTTTTTTTAATTTTAGAGCGAAGTCTTCTGAATATTGGGTGAGTGAGTTGTAGTGGGCGTGGATTTGGTTTGACTTGAGTTGACGTAGAACAACTTTTTCTGTAGTAATCTCTTAGCAGATCTACTGTATGTAACCAACAAGCAGAACAGTACAGTCAAACCTGCCTATAGACGGTAACCCAGGTAATAAGCCAAGGTAAAGTGGTCTTTTTGCACAGTTGGTCCTCTTGGACTGGTGCTTACTGCTTGGGCCTATGGAAAAAATTTGGGACCGGGAAAAGGTGGTTGGGCCTAAGAAAAAATATGTTGTGTTTCCTGTTTCAGTCCTGAAAAAATTAGGGTCGGTAGGTAGGGATTATCTTTCTTTTTTTATTGGACTTTGACAATCTCTAGACAGTCTAGTGCTTGAACTAGTACAGTTTAACAAAGTAAAACTTGCATAAGGACACTTCCATTTTCAATGTCAATGTTGGAAAACAAATTGTACAACGTTTCATCATGGACCTAGACAAGGTCTATCATCTCCAAAAATTTATGTCCCTTGCAGGAGTCCACCCAAAAAAAGGCTAGGGTCGGCAGCTTTTTCTAGGGTCGGTCGGGAAACAGGAAACACAACATTTTTTCCCCAGGCCTTCTTAATATGGCCAAATGGCTGACTTGAAGAGGTGGCAGGTTTGATCCTCTTAGGTCTGCAACAGAATGCACCAGGGTGTCAATTGGTTGGGTTTTTTTCTGTTGGATGCTGTGTTGCCAATTGGTTACAACTTTGCCACTCAGATCTGCTTAGAGATTATTCCTTTAGATTGTCTTACTGTCCTAAATGTTGCAAAGCGTAGAAGCAACCCTTGAATTGAGTGGAATTCCAAAGAATAAATTCCTCTGGAAGCTGTCAAGTGACGTTTTCTTTAGTCCATCTGTGTCATAGAAGAAAGAAATCTATGCAGACATTGTCCTTTCTAAAAGTGCATGCATGGTACAGTACTTTGGTAGAGTTCAAGTCGGAGACTGTTTTCAGTACTCGCAATATTTTTGTTTTCCTGTCTTTGCTCTGGTACTTTTGTTTTGAACTGGTCTCCACTGGATTAGCTTTGAACTTGAGAGCAGAAATCGGCAAGATAGATAACATGGCAAGGGAGTTGGTTCACTAAAGGAGCAGCAACTGTACTCCTTTATGGGACCAACTCCCCTGGCATGTTATCTGTCTATTTTGCAAATTTCTACTCTTTTCAGCTGCCTCTGAAGCCTGATAGAGGCATAGCTTTAGACATTAAAGTTAGCATGTGGATCACACATCTCTGTATTTATCACAGGCCCAGGAAGCAGCTAATACATTGGGGGGAACTCAGCACACATTCATGGCAAGCCCTGTCCAACAAAACAGTAACCCTTCGACCAATGAGAATCCAGGAAACGTCGTCATGGCGACCGGATCGTACGCCCACCTGGTGCAGAAAACGTCGACGCAAAGTATCAACCAGGGACAGAACGTACTCCAGCTGGCGACAAGCCAGGCCTTTGGTGGGAACGGCGCCCCCATGCAGTCCTTCGCCATACCGCAGGGAGCGGTACTGAGTCAGGGGAATGTGGTGGTGCAGCCCGGCGGCTTCACGACGGTCTCCAACGGGAGTTCCGGGTCGCAGGTCGTGCCTGCTCCAAATAGAACGCTGCAGCCACAGTTTGCCAGGACTCCGATAGTTCAGCAGAACACACTGCAGCAGAGAAATGCTGCAGGACAGCAGGCTTTGAGTTTTCAGGCTGCGTTCGAAAAAGCCATGCTGGCAAACAAGGCCAAACAGAGTCACCAGTCCAGCACTCAACAGAACCAACCTCTAGCAACTGTTACCCAGCAACCGAATTTGAACCAACCAATCCTGCAGCAGAACAGCCCTCAGCAGATTCTGCAGCAGCCAATCAGCCAGCAGCATCTGCAGCAGACTTTTTCTTCCCAGCAGCCCTTGCAACAGAATATTTCCCAGCAGTCCTTGCAGCAGAATATATCCCAGCAGCCCTTGCAGCAGACTATTACCCAGCAGTCAGTGCAGCAGAATATTACCCAGCAGTCCAGTGTGGTACAGACTGTGAATTCTGGGAGTTTGCAGCAGAACGTAGTCGGGCAGGGCGGCACAAAAACAATTTCCTCACTTCAGGTAAGGGCATGCTCATGTCACTCATCTGTATCAGAATGTCAGTCCTTCTTTTGTCTATCAGGCACAAGTCCCAGCTTTTGGCTCTGGAAATGTCCCCCTTCCCCCAAATTTCCTGTCTACTCTGCAATTATAATGCGCCTGGGAGTCAGAACGTCAGCCAGATAATATTGAATTCAAGTTGAAGTCATAGAATACTTCCCAAAAAACAGGTTGGGACAGTTCATCCTCACTTTTAACAATTGAAATTTATTTTTGGGACAGTAGGAAGAAAAGTTAATTTCGAGGCCTAATTGGGTGAGTGAAATGTGGAGTTGGTGTGAGATTTTGGGACCCCTAGTGGCTTCCCTTGGTACTGCAGTGCAACTTCCGGTTTTGATATCTCGTGATCTGGACATGCTAGGGTCATGAATTTATTTTAATATGTTTTTCTTGTTCATTCTCAGGCCCTGCACAACCTGAACATTGTCTCCCACCCGTCTGTCCAGTCAAGCAGCGTCTCCATGGCGATGCCTGCCGTATCCACGGCAACCGTCACCATGGCAACGGTCGCCACGCCAACCAGCGGAGGTCAGCAACGCACCATCCACATCCAGCCCAAACCGCCCGTAGCGATCTCGCCAAAACTGTTGCCAGCTTCGTCAAGACCCCTTGTGAACATCAGCCCCAAAACTTCCCTCCCTGGTCAGTGTTTGTTTGTTAGTGTTGCATAACTGGAAAACCGCCTTTAGGCATAAGACACCAGTTTTGTACATGTAAGTACAAGCTGCATAAGACCAGACTGTAAGGTTTGAACCACTCACACCGGGAAGGACCCCTACTCTTTTCGATAAGTGCGGTGGGTTCTTAAACGTGCGTGGGGTGTGGCTCGGGTTCGAGTCCTGATATGCTACAAATCTTTTGCCCTTGGGTAAAGCCACCATACACGACTTTCCTTACTTAACTCAAGTGAAATTGAGTATTGTCCTGTCCTGTATTTGTTTCTATGTGCGGGACACAACACCAGCAACAGCTGCCTGTGTCCCACGTGTATTGTATTGTTACAATTTCAATAAATCAGATCATTTTTACCACTGCAGGTTCCCAGACTGTGCTGCTGCAAGGAGGGAACGCGCAGGGGGTGGCTCCGAACATTAACATTGCGAATCTGGTGACCTTGCCTGGTTTAAGGGCACCACAAGGAGTCTTGGTCCAGGCCCAGTCTCTTGCACAGCGGATCAGCAATGTGCAGAGGGCACCAATCACTACACAGGTAGGAGGATATACAGTTTAACTGCTACTTGTCAATCATTATCATCGTCCACAGAATTATGCTTCTGTAGTGTTGTAAGAAAATATCCTGCAGCTGTATTCCGTCTTTCTTCAATTCCTTCCACTGTGTATTCTGTCTCGCAAGCTCTCTTAGCTCTTGTGGGAGGGCCTAGCCCTCTGTTAATACAGTTGTAGTAATGTAAGGTGCTACTTGTATTTGTCTATGCATACATTTAAGCTTAGCTTGTGATGAATTTGTCTGTAATTTAAATAATTACAGGTAAGTATGTTACTAATTGTATGACAGATGTCATTTAACCATTTATCCAATGTATAGAACATATAATTCAGCCCTTTGGCTGCTGATTGTTTTTACTATTTTAGAGTAAATTATTATCACCACCACGCAGGCCAGTGTCACACCACAACAGCAGCAACAGCAGACAGCGAGTCCGCAGACCAACATCCTGCTGCAGGCAGCACAGCAGAGCAACCTGATGCCTCCAGGACCTGTGCAGAACGTCGTACCTAGCAGTGGCACGCAGCAAGGTAATTATGTTTACCTAGGAAAGAAAGTAATTTCGAGGCTTGGTAGGGGTGTTTTTTGGGGGCAAAAGCTTCATCAATCTTTCAAAAATGAAAATATAACTTTAGAATGAAGCTATAGCAAAGGGAAAACAAAAACTGACCCTCAATAAGCAAGAAACAGTGTCTCAGGAGGTTATGTGTTACAAAATTTTGTGGGGAGAATTTATTTTATTTTATTTTATTCACATGGATTTTTGAGCATTGGATAGGAAGCACTTGTTGTGCTTATGTAAATCCGCTGCTCATAAAACATAATACAAATGTAAACATAAAGATGACATAAAGTATAGCATTAACATAAAATGAAAGTGGCTGAAATGTGGGGAGAATACCAGACCCCCTGCTGTGGTCATATCTTGGGGGGCTCGATGTGTGATTTGCGCCACAGAAAGTTGCCCTTCTGTACCTGACCCCTACGCTGTGAAATCCTGGTGAGAACCCTGTATACCATTTTTACCTAGTTGGTGAACATCCTTCTGTCTTTGTAGTAACCATATTGTTACTCCCTAGGCACTCCACAAAGTAATGTTCTCCAACAACATGGGGTGACGTTGGTGCAGCGAGCGTCGCCGGGTGTGGCCAGCGTTCCCCAGCAACAGCAGGCCGTGCCGCAGCACACCGTTCCGCTGCAGATCGCACCGCAGTCGGGAAGCCTGCAGGCTCCCGTCTACATCACCACGCAGTCGTCGCCGTCTCCGGCAAACCTGCAGTCAGCACAGACACCGCAGCTTAGACCTGCAACACCTCAGCAGACACAGACAGCCAGGTAAGGCCTAGGCGGCTTGTTTTACCGGAATGCCTAACCCTTTATTTGTTTGTTTGTTTGTTTATTTCAGGACCCTCCAGTGACAACACACCACTACTCTTCTTTGAGTCCTCTTACATACATTGTAAAAGACACAAATTATAACAACTACATGCATCTTGAAAGTCCATCTATGTTGGTAGAAGTCATTATATATGAAACAAGTTTGACCTGCAATTTCCAACACAAGAAATTGGTCTCACCCAAAGTTTTGACTGTACAACTCCAGACTGAGCAATCCACTGCTTCTGTGACGTCACGCAGATAACAAACGTGATAATATACAGTCACTCTCTAATAACAATACAGTAACAATATTGACTTTCATTTCAGCACCAGCAGTAGAACCAACCTGGCAGCTCTGTCCATCGCGCAGCAGATCCAGGACCAGGCCGCGGCGCAGAGTCGCAGCGGTCAGGCCGCCATTATACCGCAGAATCTGCTGCAGAAGGGCGCCAAAATCCTGCCAGCAAACATCGCACAACAGCTGCTGCAGCAACGCAAACTAACCGACCAACCACAGGTAAGGTAGCTTGTACGTTGTCTAGACTATGCATTATGACTAATAAGGCCTAGGAAAAAAATGTTGTTTTCTGTATCCCGACCACCCTAGATCTAAAAGAAACTGCCAACCCTAGCCTTTTTTTGTGTGAATCCCTGCAAGGGACATGTTTTTTCGAGCTGATCGACGTTTTCTTGCCTCGTGATCTGACTCCTGAGTGATAAAACGTTGTACAGTTTTCCAACATTGACATTGAAAATATAAGTGTCCTCATGCAAGTTTTATTTTGTTAAACTGTATTACTTGGATCGCCAACTTCTAAAAAAAGGGGCATCCTCACTAGATGGGCATCATCTTGGTAGCTTTAAACAGTGTACAGTTAGATGTGCACAGGTTAGGTGTAACAGGTTATTGGATTGTTTTGCCAGTCCTAATCAGGTGTCTATATTACAGGGCGCCGCGGGAAACCCTCAGCTTGTTGCAGTCAACACTTCTCAGCCAGCCTCTACCGTAACCACAGTAACGATGACAACAGTTCAAACCTCAGCAGTTCAGCACACGGTGTCAACGACCTCATCTCAACCACAGGTCAGTACATCTAACTGTAACACTGTTATGTTCAGGCCTAGGTTTCCCAACTGAACCTTAGGTCCTATAAAAAAACTGCTGACCCTAGCCTTTTTTTTTGTGGACCCCTACAACTAAAAGCTGCAAGGGACATAAATTTTTCGAGCTGACCAACCTTTTCTAACTCCATGATCTGACACCTGAGTGATGAAACATTGTACAATCAGTTTTCCAACATTGACGTTGAACATGTGTCCTCATGCAAGTTTGATCACTAGAGACAAAGTCTAATGAAAAAAAAAGATAGTCCCTACCTACCGATCCTAAACACTTTTTTCCTAGGCCTTACCTTTGCAAAAGGAAAACAAACATATTGTTTTTATTCTGTTTCTTCTTCTGTTTCAAACCGATAATACATGTATTTGCTTTGCAAATGTCACTTTTCGAGTTGAACAAGTGTTATTTTTTCTGATCAGGTTTTGGTGACGACAGGAGCTGGAGGGCAGCCACGTCTGATCGTGACTCTTCCTCAGCAGCCACTACCCCCTCAGTTCCAGCAGAGAGAAGAGAAGAACATGCAGCTATACCAGCAGGCACTCAGGATTCAGAAGGAAAGACAGCTACAACCTGGGACATCGGCCTCAGCACAGGTTTGTGTGTTTGTTTGTTTATTAGAAAAACATGCAGCTATACCAGCAGGCACTCAGGATTCAGAAGGAAAGACAGCTACAACCTGGGACATCAGCCTCAGCACAGGTTTGTGTGTTTGTCGTGTAAAGTGCCTTTCCAAAGGACTTAACATCTAGCCAGAATTGCCAGGGATTGAACCCAAAACCCTACCAAAATACAATCAAGTTATATTTTATTTTCATATTTTTACTTAATTAAAAAAAAACAGGTATGGAACTTGGTGGGGCCTCTAACAGTAATGACAGAGGTTGTTTGTTTGTATTTCCTCAGATTGAGTCCAAGACCCTACCAAAATCATAGCATATTTCGTATTGAATCATATTTTCCTTTATTTTTTACTTCACAAAAACAAGTATGAAACTTCATGCACCCTCTAACACTAGTAACAGTGATGACAGAGATTGTTTGTTTCTTGACATCAGTTGTTGTTACTTCCTCAGATTGCGGGTACGACCATCGTGACCACACAGATACCGTCCGGCCAACAGCAAGGCCTGTTGGTGCAGCAGCAGGGCATCATGGGACAGCAGCAAGGCATGCTGGGACAGCAGGTAACGTCTGCCGGGAGTCAGCAGACCATTCAGCTCAACACAACGGGTCAAGGGTCGGGTCAAGGGTCGGTTGGACAGCAGAATTTCATTGGGCAGCAGGTACTGTCGGGTATAGTACAGCAGCAGGGCATTGTGGGTCAGCAGCAAGGGATTGTGGGACAGCAGCAAGGGATTGTGGGACAGCAGCAAGGTATTGTTGGACAGCCGCAGGGTATTGGTGGCCAGGTGCAGCAAAGCATTGTGGGTCAGCAGCAGGGAATTGTGGGACAGCAGCACAGTATTGGTGGCCAACTGCAGCAAAGCATTGTGGGTCAGCAGCAGCAAGGTATTGTGGGACAGCAGCAGCAACCGGGTGTGGTGAGCCAACAACTGCAAGGGATTATGGGCCAGCAGCAGAGCATTGTGGGCCAACAACATCAGCAGCAAGGTGTTATGGGTCAGCAGCAACAAGGAATGGTGGCACAGCAACAGCAAAGGATGCTGGGCCAACAACAGCAGGGAATTATGGGCCAGCAACAACAAAGCATTGTGGGTCAGCAACAACAAAGCATTGTGGGCCAGCAGCAGGGCATTGTGGGCCAGCAGCAGGGCATTGTGGGCCAGCAGCAGCAGGGCATTATGGGCCAGCATCAGCTGAACATCGCGACTCCGTCCCAGGTGCCCACGAGCCAGCAGTCTCCGGCGAAACCAGTGGCGCCGCGGCCGATTGCAGCCAGCAGTCCCCAGCAGCCGATAGTCACACGGGCGGCAGGACAGGCACAGAGCACAGCACAGGTGGGGCTCACTCTGGCCTGATTTTTTATGTTTACCGAAGGAAAACGTATGTTTTTGCTCAGTTTCTTCCTCTTCTTCTTCTCCAAACAGTGACCTCTGACCTGACCAGTGACATGATTTGTTGACATCTGTCACCATGGTGACTGGTGTTAGGTTACATAATGTTGCAATTTCATGGTCTGCTCTGCTTCTGTACCATATACTAGTAGAGTGAATGTGTTTGAGTAAGAATTAACACCATGTCCCAAGGTAAACATTATGCATTTGCTTTGCGAATGTTACTTCTCTAGTTTATCTTGTACTGCAATGTGGTTTCAAATCTTTTCCTTGTTTCTAAGCCAGTTTGTCCCCTTCTGTAGAACCCTACCGGAGTGACAGTTGTGCGGCAGCCGGTGACGCTGAATGTCCAACAGGGGAAACAGTTCATCACCTTAACTCTGCAACAGCAGCAGCACCTGGCTGCCATACAGGCCAAGGTACTTCTGTTCGTAAATGTAGAATACAACACGGTGTATTCCGTATCACCTGAGGTACCAGCCCGCGTCGGATCGCCCGACGGCCGGAGGGAGATCCGATCCGCGGGAGGGCTGGGACTGAGGGTGATGCGGAATACACCGTGTTGTATTTTATTTATGTCATACCCACCCAAGAAAACACGCCTTTCAATGCAAGATGAGCGAAAATTTGGTGTTGAAACTAAAGTTTGTTTTTAAAGTTGTTTGTTTTTATTCTTGGTTGCAGCTGAGGACGATAGTGACACCTGGGAAACAGCTGTCACCGCAGGAGAAACAGGTGGTGCAACAGCTGCAGGTGCTGCAAAGCCGCATCTTACAACAGGCCAAGGCACAGGTAAGGGACTGTACAGTAATGATTAGGGTGGTCCAACAGCTGCTGGTGTTACAGAGTCGCATCTTACAGCAGGCTAAAGCACAGGTAAGGGACTGTACAGTAATGATTGGGGGGATATACAAGTATGGGGCTGTACAGTAACTATTGGGGGTGGGGTGTACAACAATTGCAGGTGTTACAGAGTCGCATCTTACAACAGGCCAAGGCACAGGTAAAACACCTGCCATCCTCACCTGTATACCTGTTAAGTTAGGGGCTGTACAGTAATGATCGGGGGGAGGATACAGATAAAGGGACTGTACAGTAATGATTGGGGTGGTTTAACAGCTGCAGGTGCTACAGAGTCGCATTCTGCAGCAGGCTAAAGCACAGGTAAAGCACCTGCAGGGTTCAAACTACTTTTTCTGCATACCTGCACATTGAAAATGACTAGTACCAATGATGATGGGTTACATTATGTATCAAGTTGCAGGACAGAGTTTGAAGGGCTGGTAACCATGTAATTTACATGAGAATGTGTTTGAGTAAGAATAAATAGAGCAACAGTTTGTTAGGCTAGACCATATAAAGGTAAACATAATTTGCAAAAGTTACCTTTGTAGTCTAAACATGACACTGTTGTGTTGTTCCCAGACCCAGGCCTTAGCCCAGAATGCAGCAGGCCAGGCTAGCCTAGCGCAGGCTGCTCAGAAGATGACTCCCATCGCTCAGAAGCCTGCAGCTCCAGGCAACACTCAGGCTCAAGGACAAGGTGAGAAAACATCTTGAAGAAATTTTTTAAAACCTTTGCAGAAGAAGGAAAACACATTGTTTTTGCTCTGTTTCTTTTTTTTTTCTTCCTCTCCAAACAAATAATGTCAGTGACCTGGACCAGACGTCTGTCACCATGGTAACTGATATGCTGTAGCAGACACCCTGTGGTGTTGGGTTACATTATGTAGAGAGACTTAGGCAGGCTGGTCACCATATATATATTTGAATGTAAGAGGAGTAAGAATGAACAGTAAGAAAGAAGCAGTAGTTTGTTGGGCTACGTGTGTAGTTTGATACAGTCTTGGCTATAGTTTAATCTTACTAACTTAGCATTGAGAAAAGTAAGACAATATATGGGGATGGTGTTGTCAACTTCATATAAAATATTTGATTGACATGAATGTTTTGATTGACAGCTGAGTGTTTGATTGACAGGTACGATCCAGCAGCAGCGTCAGCAGCTGAACGAGCTCCTGAAGACCCAGACACAGGTCATCCGCACGACCCAGGGGTCAGGGGTCACGGGGGTCGTGTCAGGGACCACCAGCGGGGTCACAGGTCAACCCACCCTGGTCAAACTCCAGCCACAAGGGGCACAGGTGGGTCAAGGGTCATCCATGGACAGGCTTTCTAGCTAACACCTGCTGGCAAGATAAAAGAAGTTGCAGATCTTGCAAGATATGTTAAAGTAACATAAAAGTTATGTTGATGTTAACATTTGAAACTGTAGAAAGATTTGAACAAATGCGGTTTTAAAATTTACTGCAAGGGAAGGCATACTACATATATATATATATACCATCCATTCATTGAACTTGGGTAAAGTCTTTGCAATTATGGTGTGTTCTAGCCAGCATAAAGTTTTTCCATTATCTCCATTTTCTTTCATGTAACATTATGCCAATGATGACAGTTTGGGCAAAATTTCTGTCCATCATGAGCGATGAAATTCTGTCAATTACGGGAAGACAGATACTGGAGTTTTGTGCTTCAAGCCCTATGTCCCCCCTCTGCAGGGTCCTGCAGCAGTGATCCAGTTGACACCACAGCAGAAGGCCACACTGCAGCAAATCCAGCAGCAGCTGAAAACCCTCTCACCGCAGCAGCAGCAGCAGTTCTTAAAGCAGCAGCAACATCTCATCCTGCAGCTCAAGAACAGCAAGGTAGGGGGAGCAGCTGAGACATGTTAAAGTGGTTCTGTTGGGGAAAGTAGAGAAATGTAGGATTTTGAGCATTAAAAATAGCAGTTTAGTCTTTATTTAAAAAAAGCAGCAGTTCTTAAAGCAGCAGCAACACCTCATCCTGCAGTACACAAACAGCAAGGTAGGGAGAGCTGCTGTGCAGTAACAGTAGTTTTAGTAGTAAGGAAATAGTTGATCCAGCAGCAGCTGAAGACCCTGTCACCGCAGCAGCAGCAGCAGTTCTTAAAGCAGCAGCAACATCTCATCCTGCAGCTCAAGAACAGCAAGGTAGGGGGAGCTGCTAAGATGCTAGAAGAATGCACAGACAGACATGTCCTCGATTCTTTTGTGGTAAGGGAATACAGAAAAGTACAGTTTTGAGCGTTGAACCAAAAGTCAGAATTGCCCTGAGGAAGGTGACAGACGGTCACCGAAATGTCGGCTGTGAATAAAAGACTAATGGTTGTGTAAAAAGAGTCTCTTCACTCAGTGTCTTACCAACCTGATGAAACTATTCACGGAGAGGAGCAATTTCTAAAACAATGGTGTAAATTCCAAACATTACCGTTTTAAAAACTATTCATGGATGAGTATTGACAAGTCTGCCCATGTTCCTCCCCCAGATTGCCATCAGTCCGGCTGCTCTGAGTGCAGCGAACGCAGGAAACACGGGTACAGGCGTGGCAGGGCAGCAGCAGCTGGTCACTGTACTCAAGCAACAGCCTGGACAGGTAATGTGAAGTTCTAACTTTAATACAACAGTTGAGGTTCTTGGTTTTTTTTTTCCTGTACAAAAGCACCAGACCTCAGCTTAGCAGCTGACCAGACTTAAAAGTAAAAAAAGATGAACTGAAATATCGATGTGAAAAGAACTGTAGTTTATGCCATGGTACATGCAGTTTGCTATTGAATGTTGTTGCACCTTTTTTGAATGATGTTACAGCTTTCTTTCATGTTGAATGATTGTTATCCTCAGGCTGTTTTTAATGTTCTTGCAGCTTTATTGAATGATTTTGCATCTTGCTTGAAATTAAAGTTGTTGCACCTTTATCATAAAGTTTATGTTTGGAAGTTGTTTTCCACTGCTTATTGATGTTGTATGTTTTCCACAGACCATTGCAGGGAAGTTGGTCCAGTCTGCAGTACAGGGTATAAAGAGACCGGCGCCGCAGCCCTTGTCTAAAACTGACCTGTAAGTTTAAGTCTTTTTTTCAAGAAACAGTACTTTTTTTTCTTCTTGCCCAGAAGAAGGTGACAGATGGTCACTGAAACGTCAGATGTGAAAATCCACTTACTGGTTGTTGAATACAAAGTCATCTGTGAAGGTGAACATATTACATGTGTCTGTTGGAAATTACATTTTAAAACTGTCTGAAAATGACTCCTACCAACACAGTTGAACTTTCAAGCTATGAATATGCTCCTTTCCCAAGAACACAACGTTTTGTCAGGAATGCCAGGAATCAAACCCACAACCTCTCAATAAATAAATGTTTAATAAATGTTTGTGATGTTTCACAGCATCAAGAACAAAGGAAAGCTGGACCAGCAGGGCTGCCTGAAACCTGACTACAAAACTCCATTCAGGAACAAAGAGGACGCCATCAAGAGACTCCTGCCCTTCCATATCCACATGACAAGGGACATAGAGGACAAGGAGATAGACAAAGGTAAGGATCTACTTCACATTGTACCCTTTTTCCTGTAAATATACATGGTAATGTCAGAAGATGTTGGACCGTGAAGGTAAGAATAATTATACACATGATAAGGGACATTGAGGAGAAAAGATAGGCAAACGTCACTTTAGTATCTTATTACCTGGCACTACTTGCTAATGTAGGGCTGGAAATACCACCTGCATATGTACAACACACAGATGTAGGTTAGTGCAGGTAAAATTAGGGCTGTGCAGGTATTTCTGTGAGAGTGAGAACTAACTGACCCAATAGGAGAAGCAGGGTTACAAAGGTTGCTTGGGACCATTCCCTAGTTTCTAAATGATTACCAGTTTCGCCAAAATGCAGTTACTCAAGCAACTGGATATGATTTTGAAAACGTTAGACATTTCAGCTAGTATCCACTAGCTTTCGCCAGTGACTAGTGGAAAGTAGCTGAAACGTCTTCAAAATCATATCCAGTTGCTTGAGTAACTGCATTTTGGCGTATCATATTACCTGGATGTCTAACCTTCACCGACGATTACCAGTTTCATTCATAGTTTGATTTTACATGTTACGTGCAATGCATTCAGAAAAGAAACGACTCAAGCCCTGACATGTCTTCTGTTTTTTTTCCTGTCCTAACTTTGCATGTTTATGACATTCCAGCTGAAGTGATGTTAGAAACAGTTTCCCAGTCGCTGGTGGAGAAGTATCACAAGATGAGAGACAAGTATCACCACCTCCTGCTGCAGGAGAGCATGGTGAGATTCAAACAATTTGAGAGAATAATTTAGATAATTTTTTCTTTCCATCTTCTACTCCAAGAAATCAGTCAGTCTTCATTGTTGACAAAATCTACTGGATGTTTGTTAACACAATTTCTTGTCAACAACATTGGTGACCATTGTTTTCAAAGTTTTTCTTCGCTGTTAAAAAGTCCTGACCATATTCTTTGTCAACAGAGACTCAGTATCAGGGTGGTTAATTCCCATTGACAAACGCTAAATTTCAAGCCAATTCATTCATCTAAAGTGACATGAGTCAAAGTTGAGAAATTCTGTCAATTGTCTTGTCTGCTGGCAGAGACTCTAATGTTGTTTTTTTTTTAACGTAGTAGTTCAATGCAAGGCCTATACGACCACTTCTCGGCATTGAACTAGAAATATGAGAGAAACATGGCTATGTCAAGAGACGGTGGTGAATGTTTGACTTGGAAGCCTGTAGATTGTAGGTTGGTGGGAAACACTTGTCAGGGAGAGAATTCCAAAGCTTGGCTTGGAAAGAAACTGTCACTGTAAAAAGATTTTGAACAAGGAATTTTATTTTGACAAGCCACACTGGGTCAGTCTACTGAGGTTTTGTTGACTTAGACTTCAATCAGGATCTCTACCAGTAGAATTGCTGATTCTGCCAGATTGTAATCTGTATCTTGATAATATTATGATATGTATGTATGTATATTACAGAGGACAGACCCGTCAGCCGAGATGGTGATGCTGTGGAGAATCTTTGTCCACGAGGAGAAGTCAGCGCTGGCACAGGAGAAAAAACTTGCTGTAGAGGGAGCAGACGGTGAGAGTCTTTAACCTTTAGTATGCTAAGGGATCTACTAATGAACAGTTATTACCAAATGTGACTACAGTAGTTAAATGTCAACAACTAAGCTTGGGCGGTTATGTTGTACGTAGCAAAGAACCAGCCAGCTTCTACTTTGGAATCCTGACACGAAGAGAAGGATTGGACATCCAAACATAACACTTAAGAAGAAACTTATAGAAACTGAAACAGGCTTGGAGGGCCTGGAACTTATTTCATCAATGAACGACAAGCAACTCTGGAGATCAAACTTTGTATGCTCCACCTCTTCGGAGGATAAATGATGATGATGATGCTAACGTAGCTGTTTGTCATGTGACAGGACAGAGTTGGAGGAGCTGGTCACCATTTATATAAATGTGTTTGAGTAAAAATTAACAGAGCAGTAGTATGTTGTTTGAAGGTAAGACGTTTGTTCCAGCACAAAGGGTAAAGAGCTTTCGACCAGTTACTCTGGTCTTTCTCAGTAGACTGACCCAGTGAGGCTTGTCATGTGGCTTCAAAATCTGTAGGTAAGATTTACCTTTTGTGTTGGAGAAAAAGTTTAACCTTCAAACACCAACACAGATGAAATTTCATGATACAGCAGTAGTTTATTTAGCTCGGCCATATGAAGGTAAACATTATGTATTTGCTTTGCACATGTTACCTTTCTAGTGATTTATGGTTTGCTGTTGTCTCCACAGGCACTCCTGTTGCTGTTCCTACAAGCAGCACAACAAGTCAGGAGACCACAGAACTTCCAGAAGCCATCCCACCGGTGGTTGGTACAGCTACTACAGCCTACCTACAACCCTCAGCACCAACCAACACCTTCCCAAAGGGTGCTGTAACTGTTACAACATCCAGATCACAGACAACCTCCATAAGTCTCAAGCCACACACAAATACTGGTAAGGAACTGTCCTTCAAACACCAAATTAACATTAACTCAAGCAACTGGATAGATTTTTATTACAGTCGTTTCAGGTTGCAGTCACTGACCAAAGGAAGTGAATCTGACCTTAAATGTCTGACCGTTTTTATAAATCTGTCCAGTTGCTTGAGAAACTGGTACTTTGAACTTAGAACCTAGAACAATGTCTATCTAGTTCTATGCCTGAATGGGTTAGGGTGAGAATCAGGCATGGTTCTAGATAGTGATAGTCTCTACGTATCTAAGAACTTAAATCTAAGATTTGTCAAAGGCACAGTTCTGGGTACCTGTGAACTGTATCTTTTGTCAGTGACTGAAGTTATTGAACACTTCTTGAAATGTCTGGACAAATCTATCCAGTTGCTTGTGTAATGAGTTGCATGGTTTATAGACTTCATATCTTTTCATCACTTCTTTTGTGATTTTCTCTACATTTAATGTCATATTCTCACACTCTAAACAGGACAGGGAAGGAGCTCTACAACAACACCCCAGGTGGTGACCCCTGCTGTTGCCAAGGGCAGGGCCATCGCCATGGAGACTAAAGAACCCGATGACGACGAAGACAGCGATGATGATGACATTGACCTTGCAGGCACAGTTCAAGGGTCAAGTTCAACGTCAGCGTCGTATCTCAACATTGACAGTTCGAGTATCGTAGACACGGTAAAAGTCACGAGCCCCGCGAGGTTAAAGAGCGAATCAGAAATGGCGGTCGCGAGTCTCCTTGGCGACGAGGATTCCGGGGACATCGACATCTTGAACTCTGACATCGCGAACTCTGACCTCCCCGAGGACCCTGGGGTCGACGCGGTGCGGAGCCTGACCGGCGCGTTCAGCCCGACGGGAGCCGGTCGGCATGGCAACACCGTAAACAACGACTTCGCAGACGACTCTGATGAAGAGCCAGATTCTCTCAACGAGCAGGTTCAAAGTGCAATCAACAGTATCCTTGAGCTCCAAGGTCGGGGTCCGCTGGAGGAGGAAGATTCCCCGCAAGACGTCTTCAACCCGTTTTCTCAGGATCCTCCCTGCTCAGCTTCCAGTGAACCCAATATTGATGAAGACAATGCGCTAGACGAGGCAGTCAAGAGCATCTTGTTCTAATATCTTAGTAACAAAAAAACAACGCTGTGTCCATTTCATTTACAAGCTATTCTTTCTCCAAAATACTCTCTAGCAAAGAAGAAAAATTGTATTTGAAATCCAAATCCTTGGGGGGGGGGCCGGCCTCAAAGATTGTAGACAATTTTGTACAATAATTTCAAATATTGATGAAGACAACGCGCTAGACAAAGCTGTCAAAAGCATCTTGTTCTAACTTTGTAACAAAAAAAAAAACCTGGTCCATTTCATTTCTCCAAAAGAATCTGTATCGGTATAGCCGGTATAACCGCCCTTCGGCATAACACACCAGCTTCTGTATCTGTATAGCCGGTATAACCGCCCTTTGGCATAACACACCAGAATATGTTTGTTTAGCTCTCTAGCAAAGAAGAAGAATTACAGTAAAAATTTGCAGATCATCCAAATCCTTGGGGGGGCCTCAAAGATTGCTGTCAAAAGCATCTTGTTCTAAATTTGTAACAAAAAAAGCTGGTCCATTTCATTTCTCCGAAGGAATATGTTTGCACTACTCTCTAGCAAAGAAGAAAAATTACAGTAAAAATTGCAGGGGGACTTCAAAGATTGTAGACAATTGTGTACAATAATGCTCTAGAAGAAGCTGTCTAAAGCATCTTGTTCTAATAACTTGGTAACAAAAATAAATTTTGCCCATTTCATTTACATAAATCTACTGTTTTCTCCAAAAGACTATGTTTGCGCTACTCATTTAAGTCTCTAGCAAAGAAGAAAAATTGTAATTCACCACAGTGTAGTTTGTCAGATTAAACATTGTCACAAGACAGAAATGTGCTACATTCAGACATTGCTACAAGAGAGAGAAATCTGCTACATTCTATTCCACTCCAAATCTTTAACCTAACATTTCCTGAGACTTCCCCGTACTAAATTCTGCTGCAATTGTTACAAATGCGGTGCATAGATGCACCCTTAGTGAGACGAGGGTTAAGAATTATTATTATACACGGCCAAATGTTCGCTGCACTTTGCAAATATGTGATTCTCTATATATTTTTGTCACAGTAATATCTGATGTACTTTCTGCAATAATGTGTTACTATTTAAACCTCAGTATTGACATAAACAGTGTTACGCTTTTGATATCAGAAATGTCAGATCAGACCACAGTTATTTACTGCACAGTCAAATTGTATATGCCACTATATTAGCACATTGGCAGAACGTACTGCGCCTGCGCAAAAACTGTAAATGTATTGTGCAGCAAGTTTAAACTGTAATTTTCAACACAAGACATTGGACTCACCCAAATTTTCGACTGTTCAAATTTGGGTGAGTCCAATTTCTTGTGTTGGAAATTACAGTTTAAACTTGCTGCATAATGACTTCTACCAACACAGATGAACTTTCAAGATGAAAACCTGTAATGTATTGTGCATAGCACTTTGGCAGAACGTCTCATGTAAGGTTGCATATGTGTATTTCATGATGACATCCTGTCTATAGTTTTAAAATGTAGTGTTACCGTATATTGTTGCAGACTACCAGTATATAGTGCCTGAAAAGATGTACTAGTACATGTATTGGTGGTCTGCTACGGGCAAAATTCTGATGGAGTGTTGACCAACCGTCCATGGAAAACCGTGAAAAATCCAGGTTTTGCATAGGAGCAGTATGTTCTGCCAACATGCTCATGTATATGCCCCTATATTGAAGTGAGCCATAAGAATTTCCTGTCCTAGAGCCACTCATAGCAAGGGAAGAAGTCATGCGTTAACTAAATGACTCGCCTGTTCTCCAAAGTATCTGTTTTCAGCATTTAAAGGCATCCAATGCGATTTCAGGGCAGCAAAAATGGAAATATTTTGAAATCTTTGCAATCTTTGTGATATTGATATATACTGCTTCACATTAGCACATTTAAATCAGCATTTCATACTTTGGGCATTTAAAACTGCAGAAACAAGCCCCAAGATGAGTCCTTTATTTTCTGGGTGGTACCCAAAAAATCGGCCCAGGGCCCTTCCAGTAACCATTTTGCGTTAGAATATTGGGAATTTTTGCTATGTGAGGGTCAATATACATTGGGATAGTGTGGTTTCAACTGTGTGTAGATAAATGACTAGAATATTGGCTTTGAAAAATCAGGTTTCCAAGCCCTAAAAACTGTATTGGATGCCTTTAACCTTCTCCCTGCTGCCTAACCCAGTAACCAGCACAAATTTGGTGCCAAACAGCTACATTAGCAGGTTGAAGGTTAATATTATAAAGGCCACACAAACAACTATCAGGCCATAGTTGCTTGCCTCTAGCCGGCTTCAGAAGTGGCTGGAAAGAATAGAAACTGGCCTAATAGACAGATACATTGTAAAATGCCAGTGGAGTTAGCTTTATAGCCTATAGGCTTATAGAACTGGGGGTTTGGTGGTCTTCGGCTGTTTTCTGATTAGCCCAGTTCTAAAAACGGGGGTAATTCAACCAGGCCGGCTATGTTGTCTATATGCATTCAGAAAATAGCACATAAAAGCTCCTGAAGACCCACAAAACCCACAGTTTTTGGTATGCTGTGGAGGCTATTAGCTGTACTCCTTTGGCAGACCAACTCCCCTGGCATGTTATCTGTCTATTTGACCTATTTCTACTCTTTCCACTGCTACTTCTGAAGCCTGGTAGAGACTAAATTGTTGCCAGACTTTACCTACATGTAACTAAAGGCCACTCCAACACATGCTTGTGTGAAATATCAGTGAAAAGATGATGCAAACTACCCTGGTTACCAAACCTGTTTCTGCTAATAGAGGACGAAAGACTGCAGATGAAATAAGTTTAGTAGCCAGGCTAAGTGCAAAGCATTATATGTACATTAGTAAGGAATTGCCAACAAACACATACAGTAGTTCACAGTAGCCTCCGTAGCAGGCTTATAGAACTGGGGGTTTGGTGGTCTTCGGCTGTTTTCTGATTAGCCCAGTTCTAAAAAAACGGGGGTTATTCAACCAGGCCGGCTATGTTGTCTATATGCAATCAGAAAATAGCACATAAAAGCTCCCAAAGACCCCCGGGGCCCCCCCCAAACACCAAGTTTTTGGCATGCTATGGAGGCCAAGTTCACAGCATATTGACTAAATGTAGCTGAAGTTGAAGCTTTCGCCACCCAATTTTTGCCTGATGCTAACACAGGATACATGTACCAGTATATAGTGAAGATAGACATACAAGGAGAAAAGACATACTAGTAGTACTTGGTTTCTATAACACAATTATTTGGCCACAATTCCCACTACAGTCACTTTTGACTATGCAACAAAAGCAATGCCGTATTTGTATATAGATTAAAAACAGGCCACTCGATAGTAGTTGTATCAATGTGAATTATGAATTATTTAAGAATTATCCAGTTCTCTCAATGTTTCATTATTAACACTGGCCATTTCAAGTTTGGTTAGACGCTTGGTGTTTTGAAAATCTAAGGCAAATCTTGGACTAATTACAAAATTAATGATTGATTGATACAGATACAAGAATATTCTTCCTTGAATTTGACTGGATATTCAGTAGTCAAGTTGAGCTTTCAAGTTTACGGTTGATTCGATTTTCTAAATTCCAAGCGTCAATCCAAGTTTGAAATGTGGCAGTGTTTGAATTCTAATTCTAGGACTGGACCAGAGAATTAATTTGGAAGAGAAATGCGTTTATTTTTGTACAGTTTATTGAAAATTGGAGGAATTATGGTGGACACTGATAAGAAAAAGGCATGTACATGTATTTTTGGAGGAGTTGAAGATATCATAATGACGGAATCTTGAAAAAAAAACGTCGATGAAACAAAGAATTTGATTGTGAATATTACATGCTATGGCTTTGTCATTATTGCAAGTCTTTTTCATTGTAGTTTTGACTAGGATACTAGTAAAATGTGTACTTAGGGCTAGTGTATGTATGTGTATGCATGTGTGTGTGAGTGGGTCTGTATATGAATGTGTGTGTGTCACTGTGTGTGTGTGTGTATCACTTTGTGTGTGTCTGTGTGTGTCACTGTGTGTGTGTGTATCACTGTGTGTGTGTGTATGTGTGTGTCACTGTGTGTGTGTGTGTGTGTATCACTGTGTGTGTGTCACTTTGTGTGTGTCTGTGTGTATCACTCTGTGTGTGTATCACTGTGTGTGTATCACTGTGTGTGTGTGTGTGTGTGTCACTTTGTGTGTGTCTGTGTGTCACTGTGTGTGTGCATGTGTGTGTCTGTGTGTCACTGTGTGTGTGAGAATGAATGGATAGATACTACAAAGGGTACTGAACTGTCAAGATTTAACACAATCCTGTCCGAAGCTTTAATTATAGTGGTGCAAAAGAAAATTGGTTCATTTTTAACATAATTATAAATTGTTCTTAAGGAAAATTGTAACTTCTGACATTTGAGGTAAGAGACTACTACATAGTGACGCTTTTATTCCAGTTCTTAAAGCGCTAGAAAATGATATCTATACTAATGCTTGACATATTACAAGGGAAGCGTACCCCAAAAAAACAACAAGAAATTTTACTTATTTAACCGCTCATACAAGCCTATCTGATGAAGCAAGACTTGGGATTTCAAATTCCATCAACAAAACGGTTCTTTCCAGATTAATTACCGCTATTTTGGTAGTCAGGAATAGTCTCAATGTCAAGAACGAGAGAGGGAAAGACCTGAAGTAAAACCCCCATAAGAGCCCAACGCGTTTCCCCACTCGCGAAATGGCCAAATCTGGGAATGAGCGAGGCTTCCTTAGCGAGATACGGCCCCTTTCTGAACGGGGGCTCCAAAACGGGGGTGTGATAGGGGATGGGTATCCGGTTTTTAGATTTTAGAAAAATCAAACTTTTGACATTTTTCGGTGCCCTTATTTTCAGAGTATACTCCTAATGGTCTCTGTCATATTTCTGCTAAGTGTTTTCGCTAGAATTTGCTTCATTCTTCAGTTACACGTCAAAACGTAATTTTGCGATCAGCTGATCGCTTGCAGAAGTGGTCAGAGTCTTTGCAGAAGCGAACTTTTCGCTGCCGATCTCATTACCATATGGATGAAAACCAAGCAGATGTGGGAGGTAAAATGGACTTTGCTGGGGGATTGTGTAAGAGTTTGGAACCAGTGTAACTTTTTTGAGACCGCGGTAACTTTTGTGGTGTTAGGCCTTTCTTACTCTCGTATCTATCTTTAATATCTGCTAGTTTAAGTTAACACTATAGATATAAGACACAGAGCATGATCGATTTCGATTGTACGGGTTGCTGTATATTGTGATCTGCTGTACATATACAAGGTCTATCACAGAGT